GCAGCAGAGCTCCATCACATCACCAAGCAAGGGCAGCAGATCAGAGCTCCATCACATCACCAAGCAAGGGCAGCAGAGCTCCATCACATCACCAAGCAAGGGCAGCAGAGCTCCATCACATCACCAAGCAAGGGCAGCAGAGCTCCATCACATCACCAAGCGAGGGCAGCAGATCAGATCTCCATCACATCACCAAGCAAGGGCAGCAGAGCTCCATCACATCACCAAGCAAGGGCAGCAGATCTCCATCACATCACCAAGCAAGGGCAGCAGATCTCCATCACATCACCAAGCAAGGGCAGCAGAGCTCCATCACATCACCAAGCGAGGGCAGCAGAGCAGAGCTCCATCACATCACCAAGCAAGGGCAGCAGAGCTCCATCACATCACCAAGCAAGGGCAGCAGATCAGAGCTCCATCACATCACCAAGCGAGGGCAGCAGAGCTCCATCACATCACCAAGCAAGGGCAGCAGAGCAGAGCTCCATCACATCACCAAGCAAGGGCAGCAGAGCAGAGCTCCATCACATCACCAAGCGAGGGCAGCAGAGCTCCATCACATCACCAAGCGAGGGCAGTAGGGCAGAGCCCCATCACAACGAGGCCAGGTAAAGCAGAGCTCCATCTAGCAGAACCCCATCTAGCAGAGCCCCATCTAGCGGAGCCCCATCTAGCGGAGCCCCATCTAGCGGAGCCCCATCTAGCGGAGCCCCATCTAGCGGAGTTCCATCTAGCGGAGCCCCATCTAGCAGAGCTCCAACCAGGCCGGGGAAGACGCGGTCCCGGGCTTGTTTACGTGAGAGGAGGCGCCGATCCCGGCAGGATCCTGGATGGCATCCGCGCCCCCCCCCCCCCCCCCCGCCATCCCTGTCCTCCCCCTCCCCCCTCCCCGCCCGCCCTCCCCCTCCTCGCCTCCCTCCCCCTCCCCCCATCCCCGTCCTCCCCCTCCCCTCCCCCCTCCCCGCCCTCCCCTCCCCCTCCTCGCCCTCCCCCCTCCCCCCTCCCCGCCCTCCCTCCCCCTCCTCGCCCTCCCCCTCCCCCCTCCCCGCCCTCCCTCCCCCTCCTCGCCCTCCCCCTCCCTCCCTCCCTCCCCCCATCCCCGTCCTCCCCCTCCCCTTCCCCCTCGCGCCCTCCCCTTCCCCCCTCCCGCCCTCCCCTCCCCTCCAGCTCGGATCCTCCGAAGATCCACCCTGGGGGGCGGCGGTGTCTGGAAACGGCCGCGATCTCGGTACACACAGTCCGACATCTGAAGCATTTGTTCTGGAAACTTCAGCAGCCAATTTTCACTCGTGTGTGCCTCGGGTCATAGTACCGACGTGGCCAGCGAGAAAACTACGAGGAGACGAGGAGTCGGAGGGGAGGACGTGGCCACACGGCTCCGGCTCGGCTCGAATCCTGAACTCGCCGCGCCCGGACCGGCCCGAGCCGAGCAGCCCCGGGGGAGACCCTCGCCTCTCCCTTCAGACGCCGCTCTAACGTGCTGAAGATTGCCGAAGGCCGGAAGAACCGAGGGTCCAGAGCCTTCCGGGCCCCGAGAGCGAGCGGGCGGCCCGCGGGGCCGGGGCTGCGGCCTCGCGCAGGACCCGGGCGCGCCGGACGCCCTCCACCCGCGGAGACCCGCGCGCGGCCTGCCGAGGCCTGCGCCCCACGCCACCGCACGCGGCAGGGACAGGGCCGGCTCGGTGCCCACCGCCGCCCGCCATCTCGGGACCGTCCACCGGAGGCGCCGTCCGGCCTCCACTCGGGGCGGGTCCACGCGGCGGGAGGCACCGGAAGCCCGCCCTCCCGCGGGCCTGGGCGGGGCGGGGACGCGCGCGTCGGGCGGTGCCACATCCGGTCCGAGGACCCCTGGAGACGAGTTCCGCCCCGCACGGACCCCTGGAGGGGCGGCTTCCGCCCCGCATGGATCCCTGGAGACGAGTTCCGCCCCGCACGGACCCCTGGAGGCGGCGGCTTCCGGTGTCACGGACCCCCCTGGAGGCGCGTCCTGCCCGCACGGACCCCTGGAGGCGGTTCCGGTCGCTGTGGCAGGGCCCACGTCGCCGGACTAGCCAAAGCCTTGCGCACCGGGCGCTCGCTTCCGGTGAGGAGGGCCGCCCGGTGAGCCTCCGGGCAGCCGCGGCCTCCGGTCCCCACTCCTGTCCATCGCCTGCCGCTGCAGCTGCTTTGTTAACGGACTAACCGCGGACGGCGGGCGGACGGCGGGCGCGGGCGCCTCCTCACCGGCTTCGGAAGCCGGTAAGTCCCGCCACCAGCTGCCCACAGCTGGAGACGACCGGGAGAACCAGCGCCCAGCCTGAAGGCCTGCGAGAGGCTGGGAGGGGCCTGCGGGGAGGTGCAGAGAGGCCTGGGGAGAGGTCTGCGAGAAGCCTGCGGAGAGGCCTGGGAGGAGCCTGCGGAGAGGCCTGGGGAGAGGCTGGGAGGAGCCTGCGGAGAGGCCTGGGGAGAGGCTGGGAGGAGCCTGCGGAGAGGCCTGGGGAGAGGCTGGGAGGAGCCTGCGGAGAGGCCTGGGGAGAGGCTGGGAGGAGCCTGCGGAGAGGCCTGGGGAGAGGCTGGGAGGAGCCTGCGGAGAGGCCTGGGGAGAGGCTGGGAGGAGCCTGCGGAGAGGCCTGGGGAGAGGTCTGCGAGAAGCCTGGGGAGAGGCCTGCGGAGAGGCTGGGAGGGACCTGGGAAGAGCTGCAGAGAGGCCTGGGGAGAAACTGGTAGGACCTGGGGAGAGGTTCGGAGAGGCCTGGGGAGAGGTCTGCGAGAAGCCTGGGGAGAGGCTGGGAGGAGCCTGCGGAGAGGCCTGGGGAGAGGCCTGCGGAGAGGCTGGGAGGGACCTGGGAAGAGCTGCAGAGAGGCCTGGGGAGAGGCTGGGTAGGACCTGGGGAGAGGTTCGGAGAGGCCTGGGGAGAGGCCTGGGAGGGACCTGGGAAGAGCTGCAGAGAGGCCCGGGGAGAGGCTGGGTAGGACCTGGGGAGAGGTTCGGAGAGGCCTGGGGAGAGGTCTGCGAGAAGCCTGGGGAGAGGCTGGGAGGAGCCTGCGGAGAGGCCTGGGGAGAGGCTGGGAGGGGCCTGCAAGAGGGCTGGGGGAGGCCTGGGGAGAGGGTCTAGGAGGGGCCTGGGGAGTGGCTGGGAGAGATTGGGAGAGGGCTGGGGGAGGCCTGGGGAGAGGATGGGGGAGGCCTGGGGAGAGAGTCTAGGAGGGGCCTGGGGAGTGGCTGGGAGAGATTGGGAGAGGCTGGGAGGGGCCTATGGAGAGGACTGAGGAGAGGCCTGAGACGGGCGGGCTTGGGGAGAGGCTTGAGACGGGCCTGGGGAGAGGCTGGGGAGGGGTCTGGGGAGAGGCTGGGAGAAGCCTGCCAGAGGCCTGGGCAGAGGCTGGGAGAGGCCTGAGGAGGGGCCTGAGAGAGGCCTGAGGCCTGCCAAGAGGCAGGAGGAGAGGCCTGAATAGAGGCCTGTGGTTTGCAAAGAGCTGGATGAAGGAGATGTGAGCAGAAAATGTGCCTACAGTAAGACTAAACCTGACTGCAGAAACTATGAAGTGAAAAAGTGGAGGGGGGGATTTTAAGTAATTCAGTCCTTGGTAATTTGACACAGGGATCGAAAATTAACACAATCTCCCTGTCAACCAGAATAGTCGCATCAAAACTGGTAGAATAAAACAAAACTCTTAAGAAAATTACTGCTCTGTGTGGTAATATATAATCCTCTTTTGTAGCATTGGTAGAAGACTTTAATTCACCTTTATCAGCATGTCCTTAAGGACCTCAAAAATAGGTAAGGTTTTAGGGTATATTAGAAAAAGGCATGCAGAATGTGTGTGTGTGTGTGTGAGAGAGAGTGCTATATATCAACCTTTATCCATGAAAACAGGGAATATATACTTTATCCCTAAAATCCATTGTACATGTACAAAAATAACAATAGGCCAGAAATATTCATAAATTTCAAAAATATATAGAGAAGAAATATGCTCTCATCACAACACAAGAAAATAGAAACAATTTTAATGTACATGCTATTTTCTAATGATTGCTTATATTCCAGTAATACTCTCTGCAGAGAGCTGGATTTCTGTTTATCACGTTAAGATATTAGCTATATATATGTGTGAATATGAATTATTATTGTGAAGAATAGATTTGAAATCTTAACAGAAAAGCTTGCCTCAAGCAGAGAAACTGAGGCCTTCCCTGACTTGCCTGTGGTCTCCCCAGCTACTCTGAGGCAAAAGCCAACTCCCACTTCTGTGTGCTTTTCTCCCTCCAATGCCATTTGATTGCCTTTGTGTCCCCTAAGAACAGAACTCACACCAGAATCAGTAGACAGATGCATGACACACAGAGATCTCCTCCATCACAGAAAGACCCATCACACCAGGGTCCTGGACCTCTCCTGTGGTGTCCTGCCCCAGCCTATGTGGCATCACAAAATGGCAGCTCCCTGGCTCCTAGTGTTAGAGCACTGCCTGATTGCCAGTTGTCAGGAGGCAGGTCTCCGCACAGCTGCCTTGCTTGTGACTGCACCGTTTTACTTGGTGTGACTGAGTACCTCAAAGGCAGCCTGAAAATGCAACTCTCCGACCTAGACCTGCAACAGAAGGGCAGGGATGAAAGGAAACAGTAACTCACGGAGTAGAAAAGCATGGCAGAGTGAAGCATGAAGAGTAGCACAAAAAAGGTAGCTGCCCATTCTCTTAGCTGCCACACGAAGCATTCTCTTGCTGAAAGAGCTGGATGAAGGATCAGAAGTGACCACATCTTGGTGCTCATTGCTAGAAACTCCCAGTTTCATGCTCCTCCCTGGAAAGATCAAGGACCTCTCAGTTAAGACAGAGGGCAGGGTTCAGCTTTTAAGCCCTAGTGTCCCGTCTAGATAGGTCTGCCATTACAACTGTCTGATACTGGAAGAAAGGACTTTGTCCTCTCCTCCTGCTACTGTAGCTCTGCTGTGTAGGTGTGTACCTTTCTCAGAATCACTACACATTCTTTTAGTCTTCCTCCAAGCTCCAGCGTCATGGCGACAAATACTGTATTGACACTAAACACATAGTACTTATGATGAGATACAATAGTGCAGAATTCATGCTACTTTTCATAGTTCCTTGACTGGTTGAGGCAGCTCAGTGGCTGTGTCTAATCAGGCCAGCATGCACGTGAGAATTCACTTTGACTTTGAGATTTGATGCTGATCATTTTGGATTTCTACAATTATTAAATCCTACAATTATGTCTGAAAAAAAGAAAAGCTTGCCTCAAGTGAAAGTGAATATGTAAGTTTTCTCTTTATAACAAAGCATGTTAAGAATTCATTGTAGGTTCTCTTTCAATGAACTATTAGCCTCTGGAACAAATGTTATTTGGCTAGGGCCCATATTCTGTTTTATTAAGTGTTCAGAATAGTCATAATGCACTTGTCTATAGTGTGTTATGTTGTGCTAATATATATTCACATATATATGTGAAATAAATATATATATATATACATATATATATCCACCCCCATTAGGCTTCATTATCAAAGTAATACTAGCTTCTAGAAGCCAGGCCTGATGGTGTATACTTATAATACCAGCTACTGAGGAGATACATGTAAAAGGACAGTAGTCAAAATAGGCCCAAGGAAAAAGTAAGAGACCTTACCTGAAAAACTAAAAAGAACTGGATATGCCTAGCACTTGCTAGGCATGAGGCCCTGAGTTCAATCTCAAGTATCACTAACATAAATAAATAATAAACAAATAATAACAGTTATGCTAGCCCCGTGTTTAGGGATAAGTTCTGACTAAGGTGAGGAACGGTGTGTCCATTACTTGTTAACAATGCTCCTTCTTTCTGGCTGGCAGGTCACCTCCAGACTCTGCACAACTGTGTGAAATGGCACCGCATGGTATGTGAAATTCTATGAAGACATAGTGCCATTGAAATCTCTTAGGAAACCAAGAGACCTTGTTCACCAGTTCCATTACAAGGATGTTACACTTAACACTTAAATTATATGTGGGGTTGGGGGAAATAAAAGGTAATGTGGCTGAAACTTATTTTTTACTCTGTCTTCCCATGAAGCATGGCCTTCTTACCTCCCTCAGTCCTTAAAAATGACTTTCAGCTAGCCTGGACACTGAAGGTCCATGGCTTAATCTTACCAATGATGAGGCCTAGGTAGGGTGGATTGTAGTTGGAGGCCACACCAGGAAAAAGAGTGTTCAAGACCCCACCCAACCAAGAAAGGGTGTTATGGCACATTCTTGCCATCCTAGCTGTGGCAAGAAGCATTAATAGGAGAACCAAGGTACACTCTGGCTTAGGGGAAAACTGAAACACTATCTCTAAAAGTACCAGATCAAAAATAGGTGGAGGCCTGGCTCAAGTGATAGTAATGCTTACCTAACAAGCACAGAGCCCGAGTTCAAATCCAAGTACCATAAAAATAAATGGCCTTCAGTTAATCAAAAAGTTTACTTTTCCTTTTCCCTCACCCTACCCCCATCTCTTGATCTTTCTATTAGATGTCCTTACCATGGAAATCCTTCTCAACAAACTGCAGCCGCACTTCCCCAGCCTTTGAGTGGAGGCCACCATCTCCTTCGCATCTCTCTTTCTTTTACCTTCTGTATGGCTTTGGACAGTTTTCTTGTACTTCACCACCAGAAGGCAGAGATTCTGATTTTTCATTGTTCATGAAGTGTGCAATACAGTATCGTCTCAGTTTTCAAAATTGTATTGGAATCTTTAAAAATACTATTGCTCTTTTTTTTTTCATCCAAGTTCAAATTAACACACAACACAGGGAAAAGCTGCCATCAGATATATAATAATCTTTTATTCTCAGAAAGAGGAATGGACTGACTGTGATTATTAAAATATATAGCACCCAGGCCCAGAGTTCAAGACCCACAACCGACAAAAAAAAAAAAGAATATATAAACTGGCTAGATTATACTTTTACAGTGAGGCACAAAAGTACCCACTCCTGATACCCTCACAAATGCTGTCTGAAAATGCTAATTGTAGAATCACTGTCTTTGGCTGTAAAAGAGCACTAGCTAACCCAATAATGTGGATTAAGTTATCATTTTTCCGGTCTTAATTCTTCTACTAAATCTTCAGCTTATACTCTGATTTGTTTTCTTTGTTTCTTGTAAGAGAAACCTAGTATGCTTTTCTGAGTTTCACAAGTCTGTAATCATTCATTCTTTCTGGGCTTTTGTTTCTGATACCTAGGAGAGTATAGCTAACAGCCTACTAGATACATTCTCAGACCTGCTGTGTCACCAGTCCATGATCTTGGCCATGAACTCCAGGTATGCAAAACGCAGTGCTCTCTTATCTCACTAATTAAATATCCTTAAAATATTATATCTTTTGTAAGTGAGAAATAATTAAATCACTTCAGATTCCATCATCCAGTATTAGCAATTATTATTTCTTTCCCATGTCTCAGTCTTTTTTCTATTGCATGAATAAGCAGATAATCTTAGCTGATGATGGGAAGGTTTTCTTTTACCATCAACTTGAGATTGAAATAGAAAAAAAATCTTAAAATGGGGAAATATAATATCATCAAGTACAGAAACTGGCAGCAACACTTCAACTATCTAAAGCTTTACATGGGTAGGAAACTTGGCTGAAATGTAGCCAGTCATAATTTTAGAAGCATAATTCATGGAGAAATAAATTCTGACTTATGGGTTATATTTATAAGACATTTATTATTTCATATTAAAATCATTGTTGTTAAGAGAATTATGTAAAGCCAGATCTGGGCCTCACTTTCTGGTATACATTCTTCTATTACAAAAATAAGAGCCAATAAAGTTAGGTTATATTTGAGCTCTTACTAATTCAATGATTATACTTTGTTCTTATCAGTTTTATAGACCCTTTAGTGCAGTATGAGTCTCAATTGAGCATAATAGAGTCATCATTTAGAAAGGCCTTTGCTATTCCAACCCTTGAAGTAGTGAAAACAATGGGGACAAATGCTGAGGACAAGGAGGAACTGGAGGTAAGATCTTTTGTTCCTTAAATCTGGACGAGGCATTCCTATATATCATGGCACACATACAGAATGTGTCTCAGTAGGTTGTAATATTTACTGCCTACTCCTTCATTTTTCTTAGGTAAATAACATTTTCTAGCACTGATCTATACACTAGATCATCCTGTGAATACTAGATTATGTAGTGTTTATAGGAACAAATGTGTGAAGATTTTTTGTTAATGGCTTATTAGTTTACAAGGGCAAGGAGTTTACTAAAAGTACAGTACAGAAGGAGACAGAAAGAGAGAGATGGAAGAAAGAAGAGTCCCACACTAAGATTGGCAATATGTTTTGTCTCTATTTCCTCAACACTGTGACATAATGCACTTAACTTAGAAGCTGGAAAACAATTCCTTGCCTAGGAAACTGGATGAGGTCTTAACATATAGCCATTTTTCTCTTGTCTTACCTGTAGTTTATGGGAAGAACTTAGGACATCTAGATGCCAAAACTGCATGTATTAGGTAAAATTTTATTTGTTGTGTTTTGTATTTCAGAGTGTTTATATGAGCATTTTCAACATGTATGAGGACACTCTTCTGATTTTAGTATCTAAAGACCTCTACAAACTACAGATCTTAAAGGTGAATGAAAAAGAAACAATGCTACTTATTACAGACAATGAAGCACGCATGCTTCACTTCTCATTTGCTGAATTTGTATCTTCTAGGATTAGATGACAGAAATGTTTTTTTATACTTCCAGTAAAGTAGGATTACTCACAAAATAAGATCACTTACATTGACTTACAAAAATATGCTTTTAGGTATTAGCCAGGCACCTGTGGCTCACTCCTGTAATCCTAGCTACTCAGGAGGCTGAGATCTGAGGATCGTGGTTCAAAGCCAGCCCAGGCAGGAAAGTCCATGAGACTCTTATCTCCAATAAACCACTAAAAAACTGGAAGTGGTGCTGTGGCTCAAGTGGTAGAGCGCTCGCCTTGAGCTGAAGAGCACAGGGACAGCTCCCAAGCCCAGAGTTCAAGCCCCACGACCAACAAATAAAAATTATATATATATACATATATATATATATACTTTTAAGAAATCAATAGCTCTTGGGATGGCAAATTTTCTGCGACAATATATTGGTGAACATCATGTGGGTGAAGAATACTATTGTCCTTAACTACCTTATTATCTGTCTAAACAACAGAGCCTGTACACTTGCTGCCTCACAATCCCCACCAAAGGGAGGGAACCCTGTGGGGGTTCTGTTCTTGCTAAAGTTTATCTCCCCCAAAATTCATATTTGGAATCAATCCCCAGTGCAACAGGTTAAAAGGGCATCTCTGAGAACTCATTATATCTCAAGGATTCTTCCATGATGAATGGATCGAAGACACTGTCATGGAAGTAGATACTGTAAAAGAAAGATGAAATTGGCCCCTTCCTTTTCTCTCTTTCCTCTGTTCTTTCTGCTCCCCTCTGTCATGAGTGCAGCAAGAAAACCCTCAGCAAATGAGAGCTCTTACCCCTTGGATTTCATACCTGGCTGAATTGTAAGAAATAAATCTGTTTGTTAGGTATTTCCTAGTCTCAGATATTCTGGAAATGGGCAGTATGAATGAACAGTATGCCATTTAGGGGAAGTCAGTGCAACAAGATTTGCCCCCAATCATTGGCATATATACTCTGATCTTAGGTTTTAGGACAAATAGAGGGTGCAGTGTGACAGATTTAAATACAAATGAGCAAGACATTTTTAACCAAGTATGCATTGTAGTCATAAGTTGAAATGCTGAAACCCTTTGTACAACTATTTAAAGATAACAAAAATAAAATGAATTTAATGAAAAAAATGAATATAAAACCAATGAAAGCTGAAGCCAAGAAAAAGACACAATTTTATAAGATAAAATTTCAATTCTCTTTTAAAACTGAAAAGTAAGTAGATGCTATCCTTTTCATTTGTTTGTTTTTTACAAGATTATGTCTTAGGAAAAAAGCACAAAAGCAGCTGGTTAGCAGATCATTACACATCCTACTAGGCTTTTTGTGATGTCTGATCTGACAAATGGCCATTGTAAATAAATATTAGTAATGCATTAACTGTAATTAATTTAAAATATAGATGGAGTTACTATAATAGGAAAAGTAGAGTATTAGTTATTTGAGAATTGCTGATTTCTGAGATAAAATTAAATAACTTGTGGATTTTCATGGGAAACCACAGGGATCCCAGGATTGATCAAATTGGAGAATAGAAGGGAATGTTAAGAAATAAAAATGTGGACTGGGAATGTGGCTTAGTGGTAGAGTGCTTTCCTAGCATGTATGAAGCCCTGGGTTCGAGTCCTCAGTACCACAGAAAAACCTGGAAATGATGCTAGGCTCAAGTGGTACAGTATTAGACTTGAGCCAAAAAGAAGAATGGTCAGTGCCCATTCCCTGAGGTTCAAGCCCCAGGACTGGCAGGGGAAAAAAAAAAAAAGCAAGAAATAACAATGCCACGTTTCTAAGATGACTTTTGTATTCCCAATAGGAAATGATGAAGTGGATGGATGAAGATAATTTATATTTTCAAGAAAGAGTGATGGTGATCATCAGCAGGGTATTAAGCTTTGCATCCAAGAAAGCCAGGGGACATGTAAGTCAGAGACTACAGTAATGCCACTGACCCTGCCGAGGGCCTGTCTGAAGTACTGCGCGGCAGCTTAGGGTCTTGGGAGCACTAGATGGTCTACGTGGCATTAGTTGTATTCTTCAATGGAGAGTTCTAAAAAGGAGCCAAAATCTGCACGACTTTGAGCCCATCAGATTCAACGGATTCAGATGCCGTAGAGTTCTCAGAAATTGAGTTTCTTAAGCAATTGGGAAGCAGTGTGTTTTATAAAATCAGGTGCGTGTCCCAACCTGCGTTTTCTAGGGCTCCGTTGACCACGGTGAATTTTACTCGAGACCTTTCCAATGTTCCATCCTGGCCTGCTTCATCCATTCTCCACATTTCCCTATTGTTTCTTCATTTTAAAGCTAGGCCAGTAACTCTCCACTGAAGGAAAGTTGGGTAGCAAAGGAGAGCCTGCGTTCTGAGGCCAGGATGGAGGAGGCCGTTGGGGTCATCGAAGGTGTGGGAGGAGAGGAGCCCAGAGCCCCAGCCTGTCCCACATGGCGGAGACGGCGGGAGTGCGGGTGAGATCGCAAGTGAGGCCCGGGGCCCCAGCGACGCCGTGGAGGCGCGTGGAGCCGCCCCGGAGATGCGCTAAGGCGCTGCTGCTGCGCCCTGGAGACGCGTGGAGGCGCTGCTGCTGCGCCCTGGAGATGTGTGGAGGCGCTGCTGCTGCTGCTGCGCCCTGGAGACGCGTGGAGGCGCTGCTGCTGCTGCTGCGCCCTGGAGACGCGTGGAGGCGCTGCTGCTGCTGCTGCGCCCTGGAGACGCGTGGAGGCGCTGCTGCTGCTGCTGCTGCTGCGCCCTGGAGATGTGTGGAGGCGCTGCTGCTGCTGCTGCGCCCTCGAGACGCGTGGAGGCGCTGCTGCTGCTGCTGCTGCGCCCTGGAGACGCGTGGAGGTGCTGCTGCTGTGCCCTGGAGATGCGTGGAGGCGCTGCTGCTGCTGCTGCGCCCTGGAGATGCGTGGAGGCGCTGCTGCTGCGCCCTGGAGGCGCTGCTGCTGCGCCCTGGAGACGCGTGGAAGCGCTGCTGCTGCTGCTGCTGTGCCCTGGAGATGCGTGGAGGCGCTGCTGCTGCTGCTGCACCCTGGAGACGCGTGGAGGTGCTGCTGCTGCGCCCTGGAGACGCGTGGAGGTGCTGCTGCTGCTGCTGCGCCCTGGAGATGTGTGGAGGCGCTGCTGCTGCTGCTGCGCCCTGGAGACGTGTGGAGGCGCTGCTGCTGCTGCTGCTGCTGCTGCTGCTGCGCCCTGGAGCAGCGCTGAGGTGCTGCTGCTGCGCCCTGGAGACGCGCTGAGGTGCTGCTGCTGCGCCCTGGAGACGCGCTGAGGTGCTGCTGCTGCGCCCTGGAGACGCGTGGAGGCGCTGCTGCTGCTGCTGCGCCCTGGAGATGCGTGGAGGCGCTGCTGCTGCTGCCGCGCCCTGGAGACGCATGGATGTGCTGCTGCTGCGCCCTGGAGATGCGTGGAGGCGCTGCTGCTGCTGCTGTGCCCTGGAGATGCGTGGAGGCGCTGCTGCTGCTGCTGCTGCGCCCTGGAGACGCGTGGAGGCGCTGCTGCTGCGCCCTGGAGACGCGTGGAGGCGCTGCTGCTGCTGTGCCGTGGAGATGCGTGGAGGCGCTGCTGCTGCTGCTGCGCCCTGGAGACGCATGGATGCGCTGCTGCTGCTGCTGCGCCCTGGAGACGCATGGATGCGCTGCTGCTGCTGCCGCGCCCTGGAGATGCGTGGAGGCGCTGCTGCTGCTGCTGTGCCCTGGAGATGCGTGGAGGCGCTGCTGCTGCTGCGCCCTGGAGACGCGTGGAGGCGCTGCTGCTGCTGTGCCGTGGAGATGCGTGGAGGCGCTGCTGCTGCGCCCTGGAGACGCGTGGAGGCGCTGCTGCTGCTGTGCCGTGGAGATGCATGGAGGCGCTGCTGCTGCGCCCTGGAGACGCGTGGAGGCGCTGCTGCTGCTGTGCCGTGGAGACGTGTGGAGGCGCTGCTGCTGCTGCTGTGCCGTGGAGACGCGTGGAGGCGCTGCTGCTGCTGCTGCTGCTGCTGCGCCCTCGAGACGCGTGGAGGCGCTGCTGCTGCGCCCTGGAGATGCGTGGAGGCGCTGCTGCTGCGCCCTGGAGATGCGTGGAGGCGCTGCTGCTGCGCCGCGGAGATGCGTGGAGATGCGTGGCGCTGCTGCGCCCTGGAGACGCGTGGAGGCGCTGCTGCACCCTGGAGACACTGCTGTGCCGTGGAGACGAGTAGAGGCGCTGCTGCGCTCTGGAGACGCTGCAGCACTAGGGAGAAGCGTGGAGGCTCGTGGGGATGCTGCTGCGCCTTGGAAATGCGCGGAGATGCTGCTGTGCGGTGGAGGCGCGTGGAGATGCACGGAGATGCTGCTGCGCCATGGAGGCTAGCCCGGTGGCCGGCTCCGTCCCTGGGCATGGAGAGTCATAGAAAGACAGTGCCCGGGACTGAAGACTTGAGAACCAGGAGCATCGGCGGCCCGCGAGTCTGAGGACCCGCAGCTCAGCCGGGACGAGGTGACTGGGAGAGGAAAAGAGTCCGCGCCGCAGGTCCCTTGAAGAAGCCCAGGCCGTGGGGATGTCGATCCGTGACGTGTGCAGAGGACCGAGGCCCCATCTCCCGGATGGGCCACCCATCCCACTGTCCTGGGGTCAGGATGGAGGCAAAGCCTGGGAGCCGCAGGTTTCCCAGACTCCAAGGCCAGCCTCCTGCTGCTAACAGAGGCTAAGGCCCCAGCTCAGTGCTGCCAGTCACATGACTTCAGGGGAGCACACCACTGGCCGGGTCAAAGGGCACCAAGGGTGCACACACGCCAGTGACAAGTGTAAAGGCCCAACTCACATGACTTCCACCGGGGCCCCGAGGCCCCTGAATCCAACCTCCTGAATCACAGGCTTCTCCTGGAAGAAGACTGAAATAATCGCTCCCTAGTGCTCCAGCAGTCAGTTCAGAACCCAGGGCTCTGTCTCTGCTCCCACTCACTCCCAGACGCATGTGGAGGTCAGCCCAGGCTCGGATGTTAGCTGTCTCTGGGAACCTGTCTCCCCACCCCACAGACAGAAAGCTTGTTTATGAAAGCACCCCAGGAGCTGATCACAGACTTCTACAAAAGACTCCTGTCTGGTTAGCCTGATTGTAGCAGTGTTGGGGACCAGGCCTGGTGCTCTGGAGACAAGAGCTAATTCTGGGCTCCTGAGTCTTCTCCCCATGCAGTGATGAGAAATAGCACCCCAGTCCCACCACTACATCGTCCTGCCTGACCACCGAGAATATGTCACTGCAGAGAGCAGGTGCTTACAATGTTGAGCCAACTACTCAGCCTCAGGTGCAAAATGGTCAGATATTCAAAACCAAGGCAACAAGACCCTGCCAAATGCAACACTTTCTTACTGTTAATCACATATAGGACACTTTTAGGTCTACAAGTAGACAAGACTAAGAGGAACTCTCCATGTCATATTATCATTTAAACATTAGGCTTACAAAACGGGAAGAAGAGTGAAAGCTGGAAGGAAAAGCAGAAAGTCGCCTATAAATGCAACCTATCAGAATAATAGCAGATTTCTGAAAACAAACTTTAAAAGCATAAAGGGCGTGGAATAAAGTATTTCAAGCCTAGCAAGAAACTAACTGCCAACTTGGATTGCCATATCCAGCAATGCTGTCTTTTATAATTGAAAGACAAATGAAAAAAATTCCCATGATACAACTAAAGTAATTATGGAGATTAAACCAGTAAAGGAATCCCACACAGAGAAGAGAAAAGAACCACAACATACAGAAATGAATAAATATCCCTGTGTAAGTAGATAAGCAAAGATTAAAGAAAAACACTATGAAACCAACAAAATATCATGAAGTGCATAACTTTAACAAACCTGAATGTTAATGGTCTCCATTCTCTAAGTAAGACAGAAACTGGTAGATTGAATTATAAAAGAAGACCTGGCCATTTGTTACCCACAAGAAATGTACCTGACTGGCAAAGACAAACATAGGCTTAGTCAAGCAGATCAAAATCAGAAAAGACAGTCACTTCATATCAATAAACAGAACAATCAATAGAGATAACAATTATAACCATATGGCAACTGTCAGTGCAGGATTCTAGTAGGTAAACACTACTAGATGTAAAAACACCGATACACTCCAGTACAATAGTAGTGGAGGATTTTAATACCCCACTCTCACCAATAGAACATCCACTCAAAAAGCCAGCAAATAAACATCAGATTAAAACAATGGTATTGTACTAACAGACTTAACAGACAGCTACAGAATATGCCACCCAGCATCTGCAGAAGACTGCTCTTCTTTGCGGGATTTGCTCACTTTCTCCGAAATACATAGTATCTGAGGACATACAGCAAGTCTTAACAAGAATAAGAAAATGTGAATAATTTCCTGTGTCTTATCAGACCACAGTGGAATAAAACTAGATATCAGTAATGAAAGAAAGTGCACAAAAATAATGAAATACATGGGAGACTGAATAATTCATTCTTGAAGAATAAGTGGAAGAAATAAATGGGGAAGTAAAAACTTACTAGGATCAAGTGAAAATGAAAACAGTTATCAGAACTCACATACATTAGTGGTGAATTACACTTAATCTCATCTCTTTTTTACAAATTTTGTACTACAAACCTTCCAGATATTTATTTGTACAGAATCTCAAGGCATTTTAGAAGTAAAGAGATTCTTTTAACAAGTCAAAAGATTTATGCAAGCCCCTCAAGTCTCTCTTTTGAGCATTGAAATAGGTATTATGTGAAACATAACAAGGTGAAAGATCTCTACAACAATATTAGAGCGCACTGCCTGGCACCAGTGGCTCACGCCTGTCATCCTAGCTACTCAGGAGACTGAGATCTGAGGATCGCAGTTCAAAGCCAGCCCGGGCAGGAAAGTCTGTGAAACTCTTTATCTCCAATAAACCACTAGAAAACCAGAAGTGGCGCTTTGGCTCAAGTGGTAGAGCACTTGCCTTGAGCTGAAGAGCTGAGGGACAGCGCCCAGGCCTAGAGTTCAGGCCTCACGACCGACCCCCCCCCCAAAAAAAATGAGAGCACTGATATTCTAATGTGCTGAACTCAGATAACAGGGAAGATAGTTTGCAGTTTCCTCTTCAATCACCTTCCTTCTCTCTATCATATGCTGCAATATGGGTCATTCTAGTATAGCCCAGGTTTCAACTATGAAAGAATAAGCGTGCAAGTTCATGTGTGCAACAGGAGGCCTTCCTACCTGTTGGTTAGGGTTCCCAGATCTGGCTTGGTTTCAGAAGCTAGGTGGATTACCCTGTTGCTCTCTTCTGCAATGTGGCACTACATGCCACCAGGTGGCGGTACATGAGCACTTTTGAAAACATTGAAACAAATCTAGAACCTACCACTTACCTTAGTCAGAAGTACAAGTTTCACTTGTGTGTGTGTGTGTGTGTGTGTGTGTGTGTGTGTGTGTGTGTGTGTGTGTTTGAATTCAGGGTCTGGTGCTGTCCCTAAGCAATTGTGGTCAAAGCTAGTTTACCACTTAAGCCACAGCTCCACTTCTGGCTTTTTGGTAGTTAATTAGAGAGATAAGTCTCAGGAACTTTCCTGCCTGGACTAACTTCCAACCATATCTAGGATAATAGACACTGGCACTAGGCATAAGTGAGCTTTCTTTTTAAATTTATGTCCTTTATAAATGGTTGTCACTGGACCTAATGGAGAAAAGACAAAAGACAGTAAAAATAAGTTTTAGTGGATTAAAAACAAGCTTCCCACCAGCCTACAATACACACACACACACACACACACACACACACACACACACACACACACACTTAAGAAAGTAGATTTCTCCCCTCCCCCACGGTATAACCCCTGCTTTCACTGTATTTGATGTTGGTATAATTTGTGGAGGGAAAGGGAAAAAACAAATCGTTTAAATAGGATACAGGTGGACCCATTGCAACAATGAGATATAGAAGTCATTATGTAGAAAACGAACTTTAAAACTTTTGTGGGGGGGGAGGATCAGGTTGGGGGGTTGGGGGGGATGGGAAGGGATGGGAAGGGGAAACAAAGGAGGAGGCCACAATGCTTGATAAGAAATGTACTCATTATCTTGCTCATGTAATTGTAACCCCTCTGTACAGTATTTTCACAATAAAAAAGTAGATTTCTCTGGGAATAAATTCTAAAAGGAAAAACAATGGCATGTCACTGATTTTACAGCTTTATGTAAAGAGTTTGACATAGAAGTGGAACAACAAAAATTTTGGATATCCACACACCAGTCTACCCAGATCCAAGGATTCTGCTACCTGTAAATTGCAGCGTGATTTAATGAATAGAAACTAACATTAATTGAGTCACTATATTGTTTTCAGATACTTTTTCTAGGAACTTTCTGTCATGTTCCCATAGTAAATGTTACGAAATGGCATTTGTTTATCTCCAGCAAATTGGAGTTACAGAAACAAGATTTAAGTATAGATTTTTAAAACCATGAGGCCTACCCTCAAATGCCGTTTTGATAAGACGAATATTGACATTTAATGTTGACTGTGCACAGGAAATACAGTTTTCCCCTTTGTTTCTCCAATAGACGAGTGTTGATGTTCCGTGTTTAGGAGTCCTGGCAGCAGAGCTGTCTCTCCTGTGCTGTCACACTGATCCGTCAATCATACAGCAAGCATCCTCGGGAATGTATTACCTTCTCAGCATTGCCAAGCATCAGAATGGTGAGAATGGTTTGCCTTGATTTCTAAAAGTTACTATGAATATGTCAATAATTATCTGACTAGCCTCTGAACTACTACGCCCATGGATTTCTTCGTCCTATCTCAAGAGCTATAGCTTCCGTTTCCAAAATGTGGTTTCAAAATAGTAGTTTTGGCATTGTGAAGAAACTCTTGTAACAGTATAGTCAGTTCAGGAACTACTACACTTACGTTAGTTTTGGTGTTAATGGTGGGGTCAGGCATGCCATGTGGAGCCAGGGAGGGAGAGGAAAAATAAAATGTACCCATAGGACATTTTTAAAGGCAGGTTTATCTCTGCAAATTCAAGCAAGTCAAAACTACTCCCTGTATCCTGTCAGAGCACAGTGGAATAAAATTGTAGCTCAACAGCAAAAGCCATCACAGAAAATATTCAGAATCCCAGAAACTGAACAATATCTTGCTGAGTGATCAGTGTGTGGCTGTTTCTGGAATTCAACATAAATAACACATGAAATGTCAGCCCCTCTGGGACAGGGCAAAGGCAGAATAACATGTCTAGCTACGAGTGCCTAGGCCAACAAATTAGACATCTCCAACCAATACTCAGATGACGCACCTCAAGCTCCTAGGAAAACAGAAAAACGACAAACCCAAAACTAGTAGAGGGAAAGAAATAATAAAAATTAGATCAACTGCCCAATAAATAAGTGGGCTAAAGACTTAAAGAGAAACTTCTCTGAAGAGGAAAGAAGGATGGCTAATAGACACATGAAGAAATGCTCAACCTCCCTAGCCATAAAATGAATGCAAATCAAAAACAACACTGAGATACCACCTCACCCCAGTTATAATGGCTATAACCAAGAACTCTAATAACAACAGATGCTGGAGGGGATGTGGACAGAAGGGAATCTTACTGCATTGTTGGTGGGAGTGTAAACTTGTTCAACCACTTTGGAAAGTAGTATGGAGGTTCCTCAAAAGACTCCACATAGAGCTCCCCTATGACCCAGCAATCCCACTTTTGGGCATTTACCCAAATGATCACAAACAAGACCATACTAAAGCTACCAGCAAGACTATGTTTATTGCAGCATTATTTACCATAGCTAAGATATGGAACCAACCCAGATGCCCCTCAGTAGATGAATGGATCAAGAAAATGTGGATATATACACAATGGAATTCTATGCCTCCATCAGAAAGAATGACATCACCCCATTTGTTAGGAAATAGAAAGACTTGGAAAAATTAAGTGAAGTAAGCCAGGCCCAAGAAACATAGGTCCCATGGTTTCCCTTATTTGCAATAACTAGTTTATGTCTGAGACAAGTAGAAATGGTCAGATAAGTTGATGTTAGGCAAAATGAACCCCAAGATAAGTATTCAAATGCTTTTTTTCTTTCTTGAGATTGTTTCTTACATATTTATAAGATGATTTCTTTGTTGCTTTGTATGTCCCTTCCCCCACGGTATAACCCGTTTTCACTGTATTTGATGTTAATATAATTTGTGGAGGGGAAGGGAAAAAAGTTGTTTATATGGGGATACAGGTGGGCCCATTGCAACAATGAGATGTACAAGTCGTTATGTCAAAAAACGAACTTTACAACTTTGGCCGGTAGGTGGGGAGGGGGAATGGGGGGGAGGGGGGAGATGGGAAGGGATGGGAAGGAGAAACAAAGGAGGAGGCAACAATGCTTGATAAAAGAAATGTACTCATTACCTTGCCCATGTAATTGTAACCCCTCTGTATGGTATTTTCTCAATAAAAAAATTAGATAAAAAATTAATTAAGAGACTAAAAACTAAAAACCAACAAAATAAAAGATCGATTCTGTGAAAAATGTAACAAAATGGACAGGCCTTAGAAAACCTAATCAAGAGAAGAAACGAACTCACCTGAATAAATAAAATTAGAGATGAAAAAGGGGAAATCACAACAGAAACAGCAAAGTTCAGAATTTTGTGAGGGAACATTTTATAAACCTTTGTGCCAATAAATTGGAGAATCTGGCAGGAATGGATGCATAACAAGCAGTGAAACTGAAATGGTAATACAAGATCTCCCATCCAAGGAAAACTCAGGACTGATGGATTTACAGCCACATTGTAAAAGGCCTTCAAAGGAGAATGCACACCAACTCCTCAAAGTCTTCAATGAAATAGAAAGGGGCATCACCCCTAAAATCATTCTAGGATGCTAGTATCATACTCACCCCCAAGCCAGACAGGGACTCAAAAAATAACTGCAGTCTATCTCTTTGATGAACATAGATTCAAAGCTTCCCATCAGAATCCTGGCCAACCAAATTCAACAACTAACCAAAACTATCATACACTATGGTCAGACAGGATGCATCCCAGAGATACAAAACTGACTCAACATATGTAATTCAACACATATGTAACTCAACACATAAGTAATTCAACACATCAACAGAAGCAAGGACAACCACACAATCATCTCAATAGATGCAGAAAAAGCTTTTGACAAGATCCAACATCCATTTCTGATAAAAGCTCTGGAGAATCTAGAAATACATGGAACATTCCTCAATATAACAAAGACTGTCTATGACAAACGTATAGTCAACATACTACCAAGCTAATTCTAGGAAGCTAGCATTACGCTTATATCACAACTGGATAAGCACAAAACAAATAGGAAAAAATTGTAAAACAGTATCTTTGATGAACATAGAGCCAAAAGAATCCAACAAAATACTTGTAAACCTAATTAAACAACACATAAAATAGGTCAAATGCCATGAGAAAATTGGTTTCATTACAGGGATCCATAGAAGCTTCAACACATATAAACAACACATCAAGGAGAAAAACCACACAATCCTCTCAATTAGTGCAGAAGATGCCTTTGTCAAAATTCAATTTAATTTCAGCATAAAAGCAAAAGATCGCTTTGATCCATACCTATTATACTACAAATTTTCACTCAATAGAACAGTAGTTACCAAAGCTGAGAAAGGGCGGTAGGAACATAGAGACCAAAAGGTTAATGGATACAGAATGCACTAACAATATCTCCTAATGTGCTTTTTCAGAGTAGAAGAACGATGGCTGACAATTAATGAGTAATTGAAAATACCTAGAACAGCCAATTTTGAAAGTTCTTATACAAGATATAATGAATGCCTGAGGGACTAAAATGCCAGTTACCTGAAACACTGTATACCTGTGTTGAAATTTCATATTGCATCGCAGAAATATTTTATTTATGGGGTATATTTTTAAATCTCATATTTTAAAATACATTTAAAAAGTTAATTCAAAATAACATAAAACTAAATGTAAACTGAACCTAGAAAAAATATCTTTAGGATTGGGCTTTGCATAAGGAAAAGATTTCTTAGATACAATAGTAACACAAATTTAAAAAGATAAATCTTTCTGCTATTTTGGAAGGGGCAGTTAATAGCTAAGCCATACACCAGGAGAAAATACTTGCTAATTACATATCTGATGAAGGTCTCATACCTCTAATTTGCAGAGGACATGTAAAACTCAGTAAGAGAATAGACCACCAAAATAGAGTTAAAATAAATGTGAATAGTTATTTTACAAAGTACACCAAATGATGTTCATATATAATCATTAAAGAAATGTAAATTAAGCCGGGCGCCCGTGGCTCATGCCTGTAATCCTAGCTACTCAGGAGGCTGAGATCTGAGGATCACGGTTCAAAGCCAGCCCGGGCAGGAAAGACTGTGAGACTCCTATCTACACTAAACCACTAGAAAACCGGAAGTGGCGCTGTAGCTCAAGTAGTAGAGCACTCACCTTGAGCTGAAGAGCTGAGGGACAGCGCCCAGGCCCAGAGTTCAAGCCTCACGACCAACCAAAAAAAAAAAGAAATGTAAATTAAAACTGCAATGAGATACCAATACAAACGCATTAAAATGCCTAAAATTGAAACAAATGACCACAAAATGTGTTGTTAAAGATGTAGAGCAACTGGAACTCCAATACTTTGACATTGCTCAGGGAATTTAATCAGGCAGTATCCTAAAAGTTTAAATACTAACCAGCATGATCTAATCATTGTAGAAGTTGCTATCCACCTAAGAAAAAAAATCTCCATATGAAAACTTATATATGATGATGTTTATATCATCATATATCATCATACATGTCTATATATGATGATGTTCTTTAATTTGTAACAACCCAAACTGAAAACAATACGAATGTCTGTCAGGGGGATGGATGCCTTGTGACATGTATAGTAAAATAGTATTCATCAGCAAAGAGGAATGAAGTACTGATCCACACAAGAGCAGTGACCCATTGCAGTAGCTTTGGAGACTAAAGTCTCATTCAAAAGAGGATATGCTTTTTCATTTAAATAAAATAAGAAGACTCAAATTTGAAAGAAAGAAGATACAGGAAGTAGGCCAACAGCACCTCAGAGACAAATAGAGAGAGCAAGTTTGAGAGGTTAAAAAAGATGGGGAAGTTTTAAGCAATACATATGTTCATTTTTTACTCTGGTAATATGTCCATGCATGTATACATACACAAAAATTTACTAACTTGTCTACTTAAAATATTATGGGTATATTATGTTTTTATTTAGCTACTGAACAAACAAAATTCTTTTTTGCATTTAAAATTTTTTTTACTTAATGCACCTTGTTACAGGTAATTTTTCCAATTTGTCACACTAATGCAGTGGCAATAACAAGGAGAGCAATAACAATATCTCTTCTTGTTAGATGCTTATTGAAACTTTTGTATTTGTTCTAAGTATTGTTTTTGTTTATTTTAATCTTCACCACTGCTGTAATTTATGTATTTCATTACTTCAGCATTATTAGTGAGCAAATTGAGGCTTTTAGAATTTAATTTACTTTCCAAATTTGCACAGCTCTTTAGCATTTAAGTCTAGGTTTCTGGACACAAAGTCTGTGGTAGTAATTTTTTTTAATCCATACTCTCAGTTTACTAAATATGTCCTGAAACCCTCTGTGGAAATGTCACTAAACAAGCATCATAGTTCTTGCCACTCCTCCTTACAGTTTCATCAAACAAATGGTTAAAAATTCAGCTTTTCAATAGTACATGCTTCTCGTGATTTTTCCTTTTAATCGATTACTCAGTTTACATTTGTGTTAGCAACTCTGAGCTAATTCATTAACATTTTTGGGGGGGATCCAGTCGTGGGGACTGAACTCTTGGGCCTGGGTGCTGTCCCTCAGCTCTTCAGCTCAAGGCTAGCACTCTACCACTTGAGCCACAGCGCCACTTCTGGCTTTTTTTCTTTTTGCTTATGTGGTGCTGAGGAACCGAACCCAGGGCCTCAGGTATGCAAAGCAAGCGCTCTACCACTGAACCACCTTCCCAGCCCCAATTCATTAACATTTCTGTCTCAAATTTTACACCCCTACAACTCTCTGAAGCTATTGATGCATGGTTGTGAAAAGAATGGATGCTATCACATAAAGATAACAAAAATGCAAAATCAACAAACATGAGCAGCAAAACATCAACAACTTGAAGGTATACTTGCTGTGATAAATGGTCCCCAGATACTGAATAAGTATCAAGACACAAAAGCCACCAACCACTAACTCACTGGTTCCAAGGTGTGCTTTGAAGAGTGTACAGTAAGAGAGTAAAAGGATTTCTGTCAGGATCATGATAACTAATTTCAATATCATCATACATTTCAAAGTTGTGACATGTCTGTGCTCTCTCAAACCACTAGTTTCCTATAGTCTACTTAAATGACTTTGGGGAAACACAGTTCCTTGACTTTGTATTTTGAGATAATTTTAGATTTATAGAATAATTAAAAGAATAGTTCAAAGAGCTACTTGTCTTTGATCAGCATCTCCTAAAGCTGAAAACCCACAGAACCTTAGCATCACTACCAAGAGAGGTAATGCTTTAAACTGAACTGCTTTGGTTTACTGACTTTATGAGTGCTCACCAGCAGTTTTTACTAATTCTCTATTTCCATCCCAAAATCTCATGTAGCCTGTTTAGTTATCTTTTCTACTTAGCTTACCTAATCTGTCCCAATTCCGCTGTCTTTCCTTGTCTTTCATTAACTATGGCCTTGAGGCTTTTCAAGCTTTCAAGTGAAGGCTGGAACAAAGTCTTCCTCTGTCCTAGATGGAACTAGTAATCAAATAATCCTGAAAACCTTTTCCTTTCCACAGAGGGCACAAATACCACAAAAAGTACCAAGAATGACGGGCCTGGAAGTCACAACTTTCTGCTTTCTTTAGATACACAAATCCTACCCCAAACCATGAATCAACTCAAAACTAAAATTGCTCAGGTATCTTACCTTACTTTTCTCCCTGTAGCTTCGGTTTCATACATGTTATTACTCTTCGCAGTGACTTATTTTAAGCAAAGCTTACGTTCTTAAGTATCTTGTGTATAGTTAAAAATTTTTGTGAAGCAGCAGGGAAGTACAATACCTTGTCCCTGGATTTCACTCCTATTTGTAAAATTCGTCTATTGCTACCCATAGAGCAGTTTCTATGATCTCATTTAATGGTGGTAACTTATAAATGAGGTAAGTATTTCCTAGTTATACTTGTTTTTGTTTAATTCATACATAGTTCCCTAAAAATGCGGAGTTTCTTAGCCTTCATTCTTGTCATTCAGCGTTTGGGACACTGGAGGCAGAAGGGTTTCAAGTGATAAGCCAGGCTAGGCTACTGGGCATGACCCTATCCTAACAAATAGTGGAGACGATTTCTGATTATCTAGCAAAATCAGTAAGGCTAACCATTTTCAGTCTTCCCAATACTGTCATAGTATCAGAATGACATTATGATGTGGGTTTTTTTTTTTGTTTAAAAGAGCTAGTTAATAAAAAAAGTTTACATGATAAGCATGAGTGCTAAATGACTTTATAGTGTCCTAATCTTTGGGAGAATCATGAGGCTCTCTATAGCTCTCCATCCCCTCTCCATTTCTTCAAAGTACTTAGGTTTGATTCAGCAGCTCTGGAAGTTATTCAGTGCCAGGCCCGGTTGAACTATCAAGCAGATGGACTCCTAGTCCTCCACGTGGAAGCCAGTAGCTCAGCAGAACTGTGAGGGTGGCACCCGGGGCCTCCTGGTCCCTCACGGTGGGAAGGCTGAGGGCTTCCTCCACCAAACTACACACATAAAGGCAGTGCTTCTTCCCCCATGACCGAAGTGGTTGGATTGTGGAAGGCTGAGCATGTAGTGAAGCTATGTATCTAACATGAACTGGCCTTTTCCAGTGTTTCATGAGGCTTATTCTACCCTCCCCCATCTTGGTGCTCTCTCTCATCTGAATTCAGTGTCAATCAGACATAGAAACTTGCTTCTGGAGAGCTATATATAGACCATAGCTGATGAAGCAAACGATCCTTTGATACAATTTTCATTGATACGATTGTCACATGTATAGCCTCACATGATAGAATCTTCTTGTGTTAGCTGTTCTACCAATAATTGCTTCTTCAATTATCAGACAGATATCAGAGTAAAAATTTTGTTGAGTCAACAATTATCCAAAAGAGAATATTCTCCTTTCCCAATTATATGATATTTAAATTTTTATTTTCTTAAATCAAAGCTAACTTTCCTCAAGAAAACTATCATCTTCAGTCTACTTCACCAAACCTTTATTATCCTCTTCATTTTCTTCTATAGCTTTCTAAGATTAATCTCCCTCACCCTCAGTGGGAGAGGTCATGACCATAAAAGAGCAACACTCCATTCCTTTAAAGAATATGCAGAAAACCTTTTATTAATTACCTTGGGTATCATCTCTTCATGGAAAGATAATGTTTTTCTTATGAAGACAAAAGAAGAAATGTGGCTCATTCATCTCTTCTAGATTCATAATTATATGTGTTCACATTTTATGATCTATGAATACTCCTCAAACTTTAAAAAGGCTTTCTTTTCACCGCAGCTCTTACATCCTAGTCATGAAATATAGAATTCCCTTCCCTCCTGCTTTTTCATCTCCCTCTAAGAAAAAGTTCACATCCTTAACTCCCCTTGGCTTTCTCTCCCACCACCCCTGAATCTTCCAATAGCCATACTTATTTTTGATCTGAACAAACTCACTTACAAAAGCTGAAGATGTTCATAATAATTCTTGACAGCAAAGTTGTTTTAAAGTTGGAAGAAATACTAAACATATTCAATCTAGGATTACAGACGTCGTTTTAAGTATTTTTAATTGCTCTTAATCACTGAAAGGACTTTATGAACTATGGTTCATGAAAATCCAGTGTTCTTGCTTGGCTCTTGAGCATCCCCTACATTGTCTGAGTTTAGTTGTCTTTTTTTATTATTATTTTATTATCTTCAGCCGCACAAAGGAGTTTCCATTAAACAAAGCAGTTTAGGTATACATTGCATCTTACTCAATATCACCCCTCCCAACATCCTACCCAGTACCTCTCAACCTACCCCTACCCTGGCTTTGCTTAATTTGGTAGGATGTACATTGAAGTCTTGACTGCCTTCTCTTCCCCCTTCTCTTCTCCATTTACCTACTCCTCTCACCTTGACCCCACTCCACCCCTGTGAGTTCTCTACCTGCTTCCTGGTGTTTGTTTAGTCGAACTTTGACTTTGCCTTTCTAAGGAATTGCATTATTTGATTTCTCCCTTGACTCTCCCTTTCAGTTAATACATTTGTGTACCCTTGCATCCCTCCCAAAGTTCAGCTGTTGTATGAGACCTGAGGCCACATCTCTCTCGGTTTCAGAGTGTAGGACAGTACTTAATGCCTTCCTTGCTGACTGACTTCGTGTGGAGTCTCCTGAAGAAACTGTCTTCACGTAGTCACGTGACTGCATTTGAGGCGGCAGCCATCCTGAAGCTCACGCTGGAGTCTCACGCCCAGAAGGTCACCAAGGTGAGACGCGCACTGCACAATGAGAAGGCTGCCTTTTCTCTCTGAAGTGTTTTGCTGTGTGTCCATTTCTTGCCTTTCTTCATTATGTCACTACGATAAGGCTCTGGCAAGATATTTCAAGCATATAGAAAAGTTTCACCTGTCACAATAGCGTGCCATATTTGCTTTGCTTTTTCTTTCTTTTCTTTTTTTTTTAAAGATAACCCTAAGAAAGCACAGTTGTGATTGAAATCCCCAGTAAAGCAATTACGGAACATTTTCAACAACACTTAGTTTGATGCAAGGCTAACTATATAATTTGTGAGGCCAGTGCAAAAATGAAATATAAAAAAGGCAAAGTATGCTTATGAAGCTTTTGTAACTTTTCTCTATAGTCTCTCATTCTCAATTACTCATTGTGTGCTTATTTGTTATTAATGTCTTTATAAATAAGAGACAATTAAAAAATTATAATTATCACACATCTGGCTGGTTATATTCTAGTTGTAAGTATAAATACAATGATATTTAACTCATATGATAGATCATCAAAATAATGCAATTTGTATAACTTATACATGAATACACAGACACACACACACACACACACACACACACACACACACACACTTCATTCTACCTAGAGGAACAGAAACATGCACAACTACCTCAATTGTCTTTTATTTCACTTCCTAACTTTCACATAATCTACTAATAAGCATTATTTACCTTCAGCTTAATGGTGAGTAAGGAAAGACAGAAAAGGTGGATCTCTTAATCTGTTTTTGTGTCACTACACTAGAATACCTGAGCGCTCTTGGAGGTTCATTTCTTATAGTTCCGGAGGCTGTGAAATTCAAGGTCAAGAGGTCTACACCCAGCAAGGGCTTTCTTCATCTCAGGACAGAAGAGACCACAGCAAACGGGTGGAATTCATCCTTCGGTCAGGGACTAGGCCTGCAATCCCTAACCTATGACTGCCTACGGCCCAAGGCCCAAGCCCATGAATGCAGCCTCGGTGGCGGCCTAGAGCTGACTGCTCATTCCATCTCCTGACCCAGCTGTGAATTGTGGCTAAAAGTCAGCTGAAAGCTTACTTCACATGAAAAGCAGGAAAGGAGATGTGACACCTCACTGAAGATTCTCAGTGCTGCCACAGACAGCAACACTCAGTAGGGCAAACACAACCAGCGGGGGAAACAGGAAGTCCGCAGTCATCTCCCGCTAAGCGGAATTCTCCTCTGACCCAACAGGAAAAGGCACTCAGAGGAATACAAGATGATGCCTTAGAGAAGAAGAAAAGGCCAAACAGGGAAGACAGATACATACAACTATGTTACGGTCCGTCACTAACCACACTGAAACGGAACAAGAAGTGACATTTTCCATTTAAACCACTCCTCACCCAACACCCCACAAACAATTACAATCATTCCTCCCTCAAAGAATACTAGACTCTAAAGCCAATTATTTTGAAAAATACTGTGCACTGCTAAAAATAGCCCTGAAAATCCTCTCCACTGTATATGTAGTACATCAAGTCCTTGGGAATTAAGAGATTGTCATTCTTACAGTTGAACTCCTAGCAGCCCTTCTGGCTTGTAGTAGAGGTGTGCTGCTTTTCAACAGAAAGGCCACTGCACAAAACATCTCCAGTCCCCAGAGTGAACAGCCCATAAACAACAACAACAGCTCCAGTCCCCAGAGTGAACAGCCCATAAACAACAACAACAGCTTAATATCTCGTTTTGAGTTTATCTTGGGGAACAACTGGTACAGGAAGATCTTGGCTATTTAACACAGCTTTTCTTTTTGTTTCTGTTGTATCATTGATTTAACATAAATTCCAAGTCTAGATAGAACTTTCCTTGTTCAAGAAAGAATAAAAAGGAAAATAATATAACATAATATGTATGAATCTTTAAGATTTTTGTCTCAGTCTATACATTCTTGGTTATTCCTCTTATAGTTTTTAACATATAGATTCTTTTAATCTACGGATTCAACTATTTAATTTTTTTAAATTGAAGCAAATGCTTCCACTGTTATTTTGCTCAATTGTTTGGACTCCTCTTTAAAGATCTGAGTTGCAAGCAGGTTTTCCTTAATTAAGCTTATAAGTATTTAAGGAAACTTAGCTTCCCAAAACACATTGTAAATGGGAATTTTACCAGTATCTGTTAATACATGGCTCTGTTCCTTATCTAAATAAATATTTTGTATTTTGTGATACATGGAAATATAATTTCTGCTAGTATTTATTTATATTAATCGCTCCTTTGGTTATTCTAAGAGAGACTGAAGTCTCACATTCAAGAAATGCTTCTGTTTAAGGGTGACATGAGACTCTGGCTGACCTGTGGAATTTCTCCTCCAGGTATCTAAGATTGTGGATGACATTTATCAGCAAATCAGTAACAACTTTTCCCACACCATGAAACATGCTCTCCTGCGGGTTATCACCTTGCTGACCCGCACGTCACCCAAGAAAGTCATCTTTCAACTCATGGACTACCCGCTCCCAGCAGACAAGTAAGGCTCCCCAATCCTGCCCTTGCACATGTCTGTTCACAGGCACCCCTGCAGACGGCAGGGGCTCGGACCTTCATCTGTCACACTCAGGCCTGATTTACATCTTCTGAAAGAGATCTATTTTGTATCCAGTAGCATAATTGTAAGGCTGGATAAGACCCCATTCATATCTCCATACCATGCTTGACCCTCCAAGTACTGATGTGTTGCTATTATATAACCGGTTTTGTTACCTATCCTAAAGAACAAACTCTCTTCAAAGTGATAATGGATTCTCTTTTTTTCTTGTCCATTTGTAAATTTACTCATTTTTCTTGAGGGGAAAAAATCAAACATAGAATGTTTTCTTTTTTTCTTATTTAGGGAGGAGAGATACAGTATTTTAACAATAAAATAAATATTTGAAAAAGTGGTACATATAATTGGGAGTCTCCTTTTCCCTGCCAATCAGAAGCCCATAATCCAAGATCAAAAGAAATACTTAAGGCTGGGCAACCATGGTTTACACTTGTAATCTTAGCTTCTCAGGAGGCTGAGACCTGAGGATCATAGTTCAAAGCCAGCCCATGCAGGAAAATCCGTGAGACTCTGATCTCCAATTAACCACCAGAAAACCAGAAGTGGCACTGTGGCTCAAGCAGTAGAGCATTCACCTTGAGCTGAAGAGTTCAGGGACAGAGTTCAAGCCCCATGACCAACAAAAAATATATAGTTAAGAAGAAATACTAATGAGTGCCTGTTGGCCAGCAGAGCTGTAATGGGCACACTGTCAGAGCTTAGAAAAACCACAGCACTCTACTTCTAGCTTGTACATTGGAAAGGAAGGGGTCACATCAATACTACAAAGTTCAGTATAAGTGGACAGCCTTTCAAATCAAAACAATGTTCCAACCTTGACCCTTACAATCTGTGAAACATGAGGCAAGTTTTTGATTAAAAATCCCTGATGCTTAATTTCCTTATCTGTAAAATAGGAACATATTCTTTTACTTATTAAGCTGTCATACACCTAATGAGTTACTACTGCTTCTGAAAGGGCTGTGAAATCAACGAAGTTCTAAACAATTTATGTAACTTCCTTTTCTATCTGAAAAACTGTTAAGGGGAAGTTCAAACTCACAAAGAATTTTAAAAGAACTTCATGAGACTCAAGTGTTTTCTCATTCAATCATGTAAAGTATTATGGCCCTCGATTTTGTGGTGGTTGTCATTTTTGGAAGAAATATACTCATAGACATATGATAAAAAAAAATAGTAGAAATAGTATGTGCTGTGGAGGTAGAGAATAAAGACATTTAGAGTTAACAATGTAAAGAAGTTTCTAATGGGCCTTACAGATGTGGGATGGAAAATGCGAGGATCTGGAGTTAGGTTAAAGTTAGAGAAACAGGAAACCATCTGGACAACAAGAAGGCACCAATATCAGGTAAGAAAATGCAAGCTGGCATGTGAGTGTGGATGCCCACAAGGTGCTCGGGAGCCCTGCCAATAAGAACAGTTCAGTCACAGGTTTCACAGCATTGGCTTATCTATTTTTTGAGGGAAGTCCAAGCAATAGACATCAGAGCCAAGCAAGCTGGACAGAGTATCAGCAGTATATTGACCTAGAGATATGCAATGGTTGTTCAGGTAGACAGCAGTAAGGATAATCAGGAGGGAAAGTATGGAAAGGAAAGAAGATAGAACATTCAAAGTCAAGAGGGAAGGACTCAGCCATGTGAGGTGGCATGCACTGGACTTCTAGGGACCAGACAGAGAAATGATCTAAAAGTGGAAATACTGGGAGAATGGCTCAACTGTTAGAATACCTTCCTAGCAAGCATGGGCCCTGAGTTCACTCCTCAGTACTGTCAAGTGGGTACCTGGATTGATGAGTGAACAGACAAGAGAGAGACAGAGCTGGGTGTGTGGGTAGGCAGGTAGGCAGGCAGATAGACAGATGATAGACAGACAGATACATCCATCCATACATAGACGATAGACACATGTGACATTTGGCAAACTATTTCATGCATTTGAGCTCAGAATTTTTTGTTCATGATTTTATTTATTTAGGGCTTAAAATGTTATCTGCATATTGACTAGTATAATCTTTCATTGTTACTATTCCCGTGTTAACAAGGTCACTGAGTGGGGAAGTAGAGGGACAGGGTGCGGAGAATTGCTCGGCTGGGGACACTGAGCTGGAGATATTTCAGCTGCAGCAGGCTACGAACGTGCCAACTGTGTGCTGTGCGCGATGCTATTCCAATCCCTGGTCTGCAGGGGTCGTTTGGAAAGCGAACCTTGGTTCGTGTTGGGCTTTTCCACGCTGTCCTCCCCACACACCGCGCTCAGGCGCGGCCCCGCGGCGGGCGCGAACGCGGCTCCCCTAAGGCGGTGGCCTTGTGTCCGCAGCACGGTGATCCTGATGTGGCAGGCGGCGGGCTACGAGTCCAGCGTCGCCCCGGACGTGCTCAGCACCATCTTGCTGATCCTCAAGGGGAAGCCTGGGGAGATGGAGGAGACCCAGATGGAAAGAAGACGCTTCTCTCTCGATGCCACCAACATGATGCCTGTGGCGGTAACCACACGGGGGGCCTTTCTCCTCGGTTGTCTGCTGGGTCGTGGAGTTTCTAGCTGCGCAGACTCAGTCCGACTGACTGACGCGCGCCCAGCCCGGGGTGACGGGGGCGTGGCCCTGATCCCAGCGCCCCTGCGCTGCGCAAAGCCCAGGAACACACAAGCGTGTTGTAGGGCAGAAGCCAGGTTACAGGGAGCCTTGGGGAACTGGGCCAAGGCAGCCTTCACGGACCAAAGCTGCGGCCCTGTGAGGGGGAGGGGGCCGACATGGCCTTTGGGAGACAGAAGGGGCAGCATTGCGGCAGAGACGAAAGCTTCCCGGGGGCCAGTGAACGCAGAGCAAGAGCAAAGTGTGGAGATGACACTGGAGAGGAAGCCAACAGCCCGCCCAGCACGCAGACCCTTGTAGTTAAGCTAGGGCCCAATCTCTGCCATCTCCATCATCGTTGACTTTCCGTGACCGGAATAAATCCCGGTCTTTCAGAAGAACAGGGGGGAAATGGCACTTCTTCATAAGGGTGAGGTCTTGGGAATCGCAGGGGTGCGGGGGCCGTCGTTGGATGACCTGGCCCTCCTCCCTTTCACTAGCCCACCTTCCTGGGTGCAAGTACAGAGAGAACGTGGGTGACGAGTGCAGCAACTCCTCGTGGCCAGGAAACCTTGGGGTGCTGGTTTGGCTAGAAGAACAAGGGCTACTAGTGTGCTTTGGAAGCCCCTTAGTAAAGGATACTTGCCACGGTCCCTCGCTCCCAACCACCACAGCAGCTGTTATTGAGGGATTGGTTTTGCGTGGAGCTCAGGCCCCCTTCCCCGCTGAGGGCCAGGAGGGGAGCAATGCTTGAGGTCTTGCCCTTCTTAAGATTAGGTCTGCATAGGGACATGGTGACCTTCTTAACCCCCTTTCCCTTGCCTTGTAGGCGTCCCAGGCCCTGTGCACGTTCCTGCCTGTGGGGTCTTACAAGAAAGCAGTGGCCCAGTTTTTCCCCCAGCTGCTGATGGCCCTCATGCTCCAGCTGTTCTACACCAGCCAGCTCCGAGTGCTGCCGGAGGACAGACCTCTGTGAGCAAGTGCTGCTTACTTCCCATTGAGTGAGAGCTACACAGCCAGCCACTCCCCCGCCTTCCTGTGGGATTCTTTACCCCTCCTCTGCACTGTGCATTCATGGACTATACCATCTTTCTTTCCTCTAAAGGGTAGAACATCATCAGAAAAATAAGTTTCCCGTGTGCCTGCCCATTGGCACCTTCCCTAAGGGCTTTGTGCATCATAGAAAGAACCTTGGAACACGACACTCACTGAGAGACCAATGAGAGAGGGGAGAGAGCCTGGCGCTAAAGCCAGACACATTCAGGCTCTGCCATTTACTTGTCCTCTGACAGCAACCTCCCAGAGCTTTACACACATGCAATAAAGTGGTGCATAAAGGTGTGTTGTGAACTAGAAAGCTGTTTCACAGTTGAGAAGGTGATTTGTGTGGACCCATGGACCTAAGTCCTCTGTCTGCACAGAGCAAGCTTTAGTCATTTCCTCTGGCCCACAAGAGTAGAAGAAAAACCTCAGTCAAAATGTGAGCCTACTCTGGAGTGACTAAGCCAGGTGCAGAGGTCTGAAGCATAAAGTTCTATTACAATGCACATCAACTCCCTGTCCTTTAAGCAGACATCCACCAAATTGCTGCCCAATTAATAAGAACTGTCTTACTGATCTATGGCATCCACCCAAGAGAACTGACGCTTTGAGCACACCATCGCATGGCAAAGGCACCTCTTGCAAACAAGCTAACTAGTTAGCTGTTAAATGATTAACCCTAAATTTTATTCCCTACACTCCAACTTCATATCCCATATACTATTCATCAAGGGAAATTAAAACACTTGACAGGATCAAGTCTCTGAAATATGTTTCTCTAAAACTCAATCCTGTCCAAAATCGTATGAAAAGGCAGGTGATGTGTACTTGCTAGGTAAAGTTCACAGTCTCCTGATGCTTCTTCTCTGGGGCCTCAGCTTTGCCCGGGATGCCCTGCGAGTTTTGCTGAATTGTTCTGGACTGCAGGAAGTGGATCTTGCTCTCAAGAAAAAGAATTGCTGGAACCAGTTTTCCCAAGTACTGTTTCACAATCATGGGGTCTACCTCATTGCCAAGTAAGGACGGGGCTCTGTGCAACTCTCCTGGTCTCTATCCTACCTTCAAGCGGGCTTTGTGGGAACCATGTCAGCATCGATGCCAACTTGTAAACACCTTAATGACCTGATTCCCACTTGATTTCTATTTCTTAATCATTTTAAAGTGCTTTGTTTTGGGATAAGTCGCCCTTTCTTGTCACCTGCTGATGTAGATATTCAGCTACGCAACCTCCATAGAACAGGGTTCTCTTCCACTGATAGTAAATCTGTTTTGTGGTTTTCTCCTCTGATGTAAGAGGATTTCTAATCTGCTGATATCCAACAATTCTAGATGTTCTCTTGCTTTTTGCTTTTTTTTTTTTTTTTTGCCTGTCCTGGGGCTTGAACTCTGGGCCTGGGCTCCTTTTGCCCAAGAGTACCACTTGAGCCACAGTGCCACTTGCAGCTTTTTCTGTGTTTAGTCGGATATAAGAGTGTCACAGACTTTCTTGGTCGGGCTGGTTTTGAACCACAGTCCTCAGATCTCAGCCTCCTGAGTAGCTAAGATGATAGCCATGAGCCACTGGCATGCTCTTGCTGTAAGAGGGCAATTTTGGAAAGCATACTGGAAGAGAGCTTTCCTTTTCCTTATATTGAAAAGATAGTTTTTTAGTTATCCTTTTAGTGAATACCAAAGTTCTGACTATAGGATCAGATTTTTTTTCTGATCAAAAATCAAGATATAGGGCCTTGGCAATACGACAGACAACTTGAAGTTGTGACTGACCCACAAAGTGCTGCCTTTCTAGCCCACAGGTTCTTGCTCCTTTTACAAGTGACATCTTATTTTACACACATTGCAAGAATACCTCTTACTATTTAAATTTGGGGGTATGTATTTGTCCTGCAAGAAGCTTTTAGTACTTTTGGGTATTCTTTCTCAAAAGACCAAGAAAACTACTATATCACCTTAGAAGTAAAAATTCAGAATCTATTATCAAGTTCCCCATATGGTCTATATGATTCATTATGCACACGATGGTTTTAGAAGAGCAACCTGGAGTCTTAAAATGGAAACTTTGTTGTTCCATCCTTCCCAACTCCACCTCCAACAACCTCACCTGATGTAGGCCCATGAACAGAACACATGTGAAACGCGTTCCCCCCCCCCCCCCCCCCCCGAGGGTTTGGAAATGGCTTTGTGAATCAGAGTCACTGTATCTTGTCCTGACCTACCCTAATAGTCCCAAACTCTCTTCTTCACTGTACTATTCATAGAAAGAGCTTGGGGCAGGAGGTGTGGTTCAAGTGGTAGAGTTCTTCAATGGCAAGTAGAAGGGCCTAAATTTAATCCCCTGTACTGGAAAAAGAAAAGGGCAAACTTGATGTAAAACCACAAAGGTGACTCATGATCTTCACAGTGTCTTGCAGTGAGTTTGGAATATTTAAGATATTTATTTCTTCTCCTTTTAGTCAAGTATTGATGGAATCTTAGGACAGGCCTTTCATCGTACAGCAAAGGATGAGGAAGACAAGAAAGAGGGGTAACATTAAGGAAAGAAATACTGCAGGAAGACGCGATCATACCTACTTCCCCAGCGTGTGTCTAGAAACCACAGTGGGCTTCAGTGAAGTACACATTAGGGAATAGTAGAGAACAGCATTCCTTTTTAATCGGGGCAGGAGCAAGTAGGAGGGTAATGAGGTCTCTTTATCACTATCGGTATTTGCTAATGCAGAACATACCTCCGTCTTTGCTAATCCTGTGCTTTGTTTTCCATAGAACTCTCAGTGAACATAATTTCCCACAGTTTCCGGAGACCTTACATTATCTCTACAAGACCTCAGTGGAAGGTCCTAGAAGGTCAGAAGACAGTATCATCACAATAATATTCCTCACTGAAGTAAGTTTTAATGGGAAAATGTGAACAACATTTTCTTACTTAATCCAACTCTACCCTGTACTCTCTCCTCTCTCCCTCTTCCCACGCCCTCTCCTATTTGTCCTCACCAAGAGAATTTAAAGAGCATTAAAGGTATCTGAGATTGAGGCAAAGGCTGGAGGTGAGAAACGGCTGGATTATGGCTGTTTGCCCCATTCGCTTTCTGGGAGCAAAGTATAACTTTGCAGAAATATAAATTATTTTTATAGTACCAGTTCATATGTTTCTGTATGCTCATTAAAACATCTAGGATAATTGAGTTTGCCAAAAATAGCAGTGCATCTGGGATCTAGAAGATACATCACATTAGCATGGAGAATAAAAAGAAATTTCCCTCCTGGGTAAATGCAGGTATAATATTCACTGTGCATGTGTAAAAATGGAACCAGTTAGCTTGAGGGTCAGGTGGGGATAGACGAGCAATGATGCTCGTCAAGATGCACCGCCCTCGTAAAGTGCCATGTTGAATAGAAACCTCTTTGTACAACTACCAAAAGATTAAATAAACACATACATAATCACGTCCATCCATCCATACAAGAACAAAAAGGAATTTCCCAGGTAACTAAAAATGAAAGCATGGAGTCATATAACTTAGAGTCAGGAAATCCTTTTGCATACCAAAAATACAAGTGATCAGTTGGACAACTGTTCTTCATGCCTGGAAAAATCCTAGCTACTTGGGAGGCTGGGATTGGGAGGATTGTGATTGAAGGCCAGCCTAGGCTAAGCTTTTGCTTTGGCTGCTTGAGTTCTTGATGTCATATACTAAAAAAATAAAATAAAAATCTATGGCAAGATCAATTTAAGGGAGTGTTTTCCCTGTTTTCTTCTAGGAATTTTATACAATCAAATCTTATATTTAATCTCTTTTGACTTTATTTTGTATATGGAGCAAAATAAGGATCCAATTTCATTCTTTTCATGTGGATGTCCTGATTTTCCCATTTAATGACATTTTTATTTATCTTTTCTCCATGTGTAATCTTGCTAGTGGGCCATAGATAGGTAGCTTCATTTCTGGGCTTTCTGTTCTTGTTTTATTCATCTTTGTGTTTGTTTTCATGTCAGCATCATACTGTTTTGATACTGTCATTTTAGTAGGTTTTTTTTAATTAGAAAAGGTCATAGTTTCCAGCTCTGGTGGCTCACATCTATAATCCTAGCTACTCAGGAGGCTGAGATCTGAGGATCTCAGTTCAAAGTCAGCCTGGGCAGGAAGGTCCTGAAGACTCTTATCTCCAATTAACTGCCAGAAAACTGGAAGTGGTGCTGTGGGTCAAGTGATAGAGTGCTAGCTTTGAGCTGAAGAGTGTAGGGACAGTGACCAGGCCCTGAGTTCAAGCCCCACAACTGACAAAAATAGGTCTCAGATATATTCTTCTTTCACAACATTGCTTTGGTTATTCAGAACCATTTGTAGATCTATGTGAATGTTTTGGATGTTTTTCCATTCTGCAAAAATGCCATTTGAATATTGATTCTATATATTATCCTGAATCTGTACTCAACTTTGGCTACTGTAGACATTTCAATATTGAAAATTCTTCTAATCTATGAACAGAGGATATATTTCCATTCATATATGCCTTCTTCAAACTCCTTCATCAACAATTGATAGTTTTCAATACAATTGTTTCACTACCTTGGCTAAGTTTTTACCTTATTATTTTACTTTGCATTCCCTATTGTAAATGAGATTGTTTTCCTGATCTTTTTAGGATACTTTATTGTGTATATAGAAATGAAACTGGTTGTTGTGTGTTGATCATATAACCTACAACTTGTTTTTCAGTAGCCTTTTTAATGAATTCTTCAGGGTTTTTTGATATATATACGTTCATGTCATCTGCAAACAGAGAAAATTTTACCTTTTCTGCTCTGATTGAGATGCCTGTTTCTTCTTTCTTCTTGTCTATACGCTTTGTCGAGGGTTTGCAGCACTCTGTAATGAAAGTGCTGAATGGAACAGTGGGAATGATCGTTCCTGATCTTAGGGTCAAAGCGTTCAGGAGTTCATCACTAAGTATGGAATGGCAGTATAGCGAGGTATGTCCTTCCATGTAGTTTTGAGAGTCGTGGACATGAAGAATGTTGATTTTGTCAAGTTATTTTCACACTTTGGAAATGACCCTGTCTCTGTTCCTCATTCTGGTCGCAGGATGCATCTGTCTTTTAAGTTTTCACAGGTTGCGCCATCCTTGTCTGCCAGGCACATGGAGCGTGGTCTCTCAGTAGACTGCTCAGTTTTGTTAGCTAGGATGTATTTAAAAGGTTTTGCGTGTATGTTTGTTAAAGATGTAGGCCTACGGTTTTTCTCTTCTCTCAGTGTCCTCTAGCTTTGGCATGAAAGCAATGGTGTCTCATAAAATGCACTTGGAAGTGTTTTCTGCTCTTCAATGTGGGTGGAGCTAGGGAGGGAATTCACAAAGCGTTGTCAATTCTGCTACAAACCTGATGGCTGGGGTCTCTCTGCTGGACCCAGATAGAAATGAATAGGCAAAAAAAAAAAAAAAAAAACTTCGCCACTTATGTTAGACCCTTAGGGATATTTCCAGGTGGTAGAGTATCTGACAGTGAGTAATCGCAGTTAGCCTGGAAACTTTGAAAATAAATGTAGCAGACATGCCTCCTACCTTAGGTCCAAGGCCCTAAGTGATATGCTCTTGGTAACCTGAGACCTCAGGTAACCTGAGACCTTCATGTCAAGAAACCCTCCAATCTGACTACAATGAAGTAGTTGTGCAAGAGATTTCAACTAAACGATCCATCTCTGAGTAGAATGCACCTTGTCCCCTGGCATCATTCCATCTTAGCCCAGCCCCACCCATCTCAAGTGACGTGTCTTCACTTTTAGAACAAGCAGAAATCATGCCATGAAGATCGACTCCTCTCATTAACTTATTAGCTGTTTCCTTTCAGCTTCTGAATAACTTCTTCAAGGACCCATTCCCAGAAGAATTTTTGGTTCTCTTCAGAGACTGGGTTAATGATTCCAACCCTGAAGTTAGCAAACTGAGCCTTCAGAAGATCGCCAGCATGGCGCCAGTCATAAATGAAGTAAGTAGCTTCTGTCCCTCAGCGCCCCACAGTTATATTCTGATATTGCTCAATGTTTTCACAACTAAAACTGCGTTTTGCACTTTCTATAGAGCTAAAACAATGTATAAGCCTCACTTTTTTTTTTCAATTTTCAAACTGAGTTGAACAAAGAAGATGAAAATCAATATAAATGGCTTTATCATCTCGTACTTTTTTCCCCAAAAATCTCATGGCATTCAGAATTTACCATCTTGACCCTACACAAATGTACTACTTATAGCCCAAACCAAATACACATCAGTCCATTTCTCCTCTAATGCGCACCTGTGTACTCATTAGTTCCAGCTCATAGTACACAGGCTAGCATTTTCTTCCACTTGTTTGACTTTCCTCCATCACTTCTACATATTCATGTATTTTTTTCCTTTTTCAGTGACCTCTTTAAATCAGTCTTTACTGAACATTCTGCTCTCTAGTGGCCTTACCCTTCTCAAAGACATACCAACCGCGAGCACTTAGGGAATATTTGGTATCAGTGATGCTTAAAAAATGGTTTAACTGCCAGCGTCAAAACCATCCCTAGTGTATAGAATCAGGTATTCTGGGTTGGGGCCTACCAGTGTGAGCTTTTACAAGTCTGTGGGTAACACTAATATCGACTGAAGTTGAGAATCACTGCCTTACATTGTTTCTAACTAACTCACCTGAGTAATTCTCGCTATCCCAGGTGATGGAATTTCCACATGCCCCTCTGTTTTGTAATTTGTAGATGTTCTATACACTGTTACTCACTGCTAATCTGTTGAACATAATCTCCAAAAGCTGAAAGCCTATCAGTGAATATTCGTTTTTGCATTTAGCATGGCATGAGTCATGCTCTTGTCTGCTTTAAGTCAGGCTGATGAAATTGTTAGCTGCGTACATTTGCTGTTTTTTTAAGTAAGCACTATGTTATTTATTGTTTTGTATGAAACCGTTTCCCATGTTACTAACACCTGTGTGGTGGCTAGCTAGGAGAGGGACAAGGACACAGCGGGGGGAGGCCGGTAGAAGCGTCACTACGGTTAGTAGCAACTTTCCAGCTCGACAGAGGCAGAACTGGGCACTGATGGAGTCCTTAGCTCCATGTTTATCTTCCCCATAATGCTATTGTTTTAAGAATAACCTTATTCATTTCCTTTCATTGAAAAAATTGTGGCCTTTCTCTTCTTTGATGTCTTTTTGCTTTTCTTCACCTTCAACTCTCCTTGACTCTGATCTGAAGCTGACTTCCATGAGTTGACATTAGTTCTGTGGTCTAAACATGCACTGCCATCTAACTTACAGGCCACACTGGAAGGTCAGTGGTGTGTTGGTAAACACTTAGCAACCAGATATCTGGAAATGAGGCCAATCTTCCACTGTAAATATTCCCACCATGGCTAATTGAAAACTAATATGAAGCCAGGCACCAGTGGCTTATACTTGTAATCCTAGCTACTCAGGGACTGAGGTCTGAGGATAACAGTTGGAAGCCAGCCAGGGCAGGAAAGTCAATGAGATTCTTAACTCCAATTGACCACCAAAAAAACCCCAAAAAACCAGAAGTAGAGCTTTGGCTCAAGCGGTACAGCACCAGCCTTGAACAAAAAAGCTCAAGGACAAGTGTCCAGGCCCTGAGTTTAAGCCTCAGGACCAGTATACACACACTTTCCTAAAGATGGAGGCTTGCAGAAAAGCACAGTAACCCACCATACAAACATGATGTACCAAAACCCCCTGGATGTGTGAGAGAGTAACTCTCCCAAATGCTAACTTGATTTTCATCATTTACAATGTATGTATTTGAGACTTCAATAATCACTTTAAAAATATTTTTATTACATTTAAGTGGTTGAACAAAGAAGTTGCCTCGCGACAAAGCCGCTCAGGAACGCAGCACCCGGTGATCAACAGCACCTTCCGACCTCTCCCCCGCCCCTCCCCCGCCTCTTCCCTCCTTTTTCCAGTTTTGTACACTATGCATCGCATTCCTGACTACCTGCTCCCTGCCCTTTTCTTCATTCCTTGACCTCCCTCCTTCCTCTGGATCCCAACCCACCTTTCAAGTACCCATTCGCTGGTGTTTATTTTGCTGAACTTTGATTTCACTTTTCTAAGAAATTATACCGCTTGAGTTCTCTCCTGAATCGTTTGTGCACACTTGCGCGCCTCCCAAAGTATTTACTTATCTATTTGTGAATTAATTCCAGCTTCCACATAAGAGGGAAAACATGTATCCATTGTCTCTCTGAACTTGACCTCACTTAACACAACTTTTAAGCAAGGGTTTACCAAGCTAGCCAGGGCTAGCCCAGCCTCACCCCAAGTCTCCTTCCACAGCTTCCAGCCTCACCACTCTGCTCCTCTTGTGTGTAGATAGAAAGCGCCTGCAGCTTGATCACATCCATCCTCGAGGCCTTCCTTTCCAAAGAGAAGACAGTTGTCATGCGGGCTTTGCTCACCCTCCGAAGGCTGCTCGGCAGATTGGACAAAGTGACCTATTCCTCGCTGTGCACCAACATAGCCTCCAGCTACTGTCCTCTGATGGATCATGTGAGTCTACAGTTCCGTGCGCGCGTCCATTAGGCTCCTGTCACAACTGAAGTCCAGCTGAGGGGATGACTTTATGTCCCAGAGTAACCCAACTGATGGCAGCCATTCCTGCACAGCCATGTCCTGCATAGCCATCTTTCTTTGAGGCAGGGAGATAATATTTGCCAGGTCTTTTTATCATCATCATTATTATTATTATTTTGTCAGTCATTGTCCCTGAGCTCTTCAGCTCAAGGCTAGCGCTCTACCACTTGAGCCACAGTGCCGCTTCCAGTTTCTTCTGCTTATGTGGTGCTGATGAATCGAACCCAGGGCCTCATGCATGCAAGGCAAACGCTCTACCACAGAGCCACCTTCCCAGCTCCAGGTCTTTTATTTTAAAGCAACTAAATTCTAGAAAAGTTTGTTCATAAGAAAGGAGAATCAAAGAACAATCTCGGTCTTTGGAAAAAAACAAACTTTAGCTTCGGGGCTATATATTGTTCAGGACTAGCCCTATTCAAGTGCTACTTTATGTATTACTCATCCATCCTTCTATTAACGAGCACTTAGGTTTCTTTTATGTCATGTCTATTGTGAGTGCTATACAAGCAAAACTTAAGTTAAAATCCAAATCAAGAAAGTTCTTATTCTTTGCTTAGTGTTAAACCACCTTTATTGACCTTTATTATTATATGATATAATCAACTGGTGGGGGGAGGGGGGAGGAGATGGGAAGGGATGGGAAGGGGAAACAAAGGAGGAGAAAACAATGCTTGATAAGAAATGTACTCATTACCTTGCCCATGTAATTGTAACCCCTCTGTACGGTATTTTCACATAAATAAATAAATAAAGATATCTCTAGTTTTTAATATGTTGATGAAGTTCCATCAAAAACAAGATACAAAGTATTTCCTTCACCCTTAAAAGAGCAGTCAGCCTCTCCTTCCTCAGAAGTTGAGCAGAGGCTCTTCCTGGAGAGTATCCCATACCTGTATCCATACACGTGACAGAACAGACAATAACAATGTCTTGTTATTCTGTTATCCAAAAAAATGAAGAAGAAAGAGAAGAAGAAGAAGAAGAAGAGTTGGAGGCCTCTGGCTTATACACATAATTCTAGCTACCTGGGAGGCTAAATTTTGGATGATCACAATTCAAGGCCAGCTCAGGCAGGAAAATGGGCAAGACTCCTTGCCACAAAGGTGTACACCTGTTAGCTTAGCTACACCAGGAAGCCTGGTGCAGGCAGAATGTCACTGCAAAGCAGATCTTATCTCAAAACCTAAGCAAAACATCAAGACTGGAGTAAGAGCCCAGCAGTAAGAGCAGCTGGCTAAGCAAGTTCCAACCCTGGTACTGCCAAACAAACAATGCATAAATAAGTAAGAAGGTCTTTCGTAAAGGTAAACTGTAATGATTCCATGTGTGTGCACATGCACCTCTGTGAGCATGAACCTGATAGAGCATACCCACATGAGCTGAATAGAAAGCTGTACAATCATGCTCAAACGCGGCCTTCTTTCTTGTGTGTGTGTGTGTTCCAGAGTAATGGAGGCATTCGGAGCATGGCCATTCGACACTTTGGAGAACTACTTAGAGATATGAGTCAGTACACATGGATGCTGAGCCACGTGATCCTGGGAGGCCTAGTGCCCCTAATCTTGTTTCTGGAAGATAAGGAGCAGAGAGTCGTCAAAGTAAGACCACTGGTCTTGTTTTTCTTTAAGAAAGGTTTTATGTAAGCTCAGATGACCTTCACTGACATGTTCTTATCTCACAGGCATGCAAATACACACTAGATATCTGTGCCTCCCAACTGAAGTGGTCAATATCATATTTACTCAAAGATGAGAATTACAACTTTGAGCTGGTGGTCATCAACATCTGTAATAATCTTGTAAGTCACCTTCTGCCTTTTCCTACCATACGAGTTACAGATAGTGCACAAGAACATTCAAAGTTATGAAAGGTGTGAGGGGGGAAAGGTGGCTCATTATATCAAGGGCTCGAAATATGAGAGAACATTGGGATGTCATATTTCTTCTCCCTCAATCTTGACCATTCATCTTCTCTTCCTTCGATCCTCATACTTGGAAACATGGATGGATATAAAATTAGGAAGAGAGTTCCAGATGACCAAAGGAAGGTTGGAATGATTTTGCCACCACTTTATGAGTTGGCCCTCTGAAAGCCAGCATGGACAATGGTAGACAAGTAGGGAAGGAAGAATGCTAAGCTCAGTTTAGAAGTACCACTTTGATGACCAAAGTCATGATATTTGTTTGATGTAGGATTATCAAATCATAAGCAGATTAGTCTTTGCAGTATACATAAGTCCACATATAAAAAGCCTAAAAATTCATCCTGATTTAGCATAAGCAATTAAGTTCTTATGTCCTAAAGTCTCCTTGGAAGCAGCAAATACACCTTTTCAACAATTGAGAGATAATGTTTTCCTACTTTTCATTTTCAGGTTGCATCTAATGAAAACCAAATTACAGATTTAATATCTGACACCTTAGGGTTCATGGGAAGTTCCCGAGTTTATCTGAGGAGAGGAGCAGTTATTTTAGTTGGTAAGTAAATTTAATTCTTCTATTTCTTAATTTGTCTCTAACGGTACAGAATAGGGTGAAAGTTAGAAACATTCATTTGAAATTTATAAATTTTGTTTACTTATGATATACACTTCGTGCTATCTATGAAAAGTAGAGATTAGCATATGTGATAAGAATAAGTTTACTTTTAAAATACACAGTGAATCTGACTAAATTGTTACACCAAAGATATACAACATGACAGATTTCATATTTTAACTTGTACATACCACCACTCACCCTCTCTTACTCCTTAAAAATTCCAATCCAAAAAAGAAGGATAATTTAAAAATATATACCATCATCAACCTCAACAAAACTGGGATAATGAAGGAGAAAGAACTAGCAAATCCAGTAAAGTTTTAAAAAGTGTAGGCACAGGGTGTCCAGGAAGATTTCTAGGGGAGTGCAGCTAACGTATTTGATTTTTCAAAAAATCTAACCAAAGCATTTTCCCATAAGATGCTCACTGAAGATTAACAATTTTAAATCCCTCATTTTGGAATGAGGGATTGTTAGTGAGTTCCCAACTTGGTAGTAGGATTTTCCATCCACCCCATTAGTCACATGGAATCTCAAGTGAGCAACAGAATCACATGATCACGTCATATTTGTAAAGGTGACTATCGATCAGGGGAGATGACAAATTGAACAATGATGGTCACTAGAACTCACAATCTGTATAGACCAAAGAGGAGCAGAGAAACATATGCACACACATACACAGAAAGCCCTGTCATAGCATTTATTTCCAAGTTAAAAGTAAGATCCCTACTATTTTAAATTCTATCCTGGAGCTTTCCAGAAATAAATCTTAGTTTTTAATTGTGAGATCCCTAAGTTAATAATTTTTAAAAGGAACTAGTATAAACTTTCGATAAAGGTACCTCCAGAGAGAAAATGAAAGATGAAACTTAGAAATTTCTACAGAGCAGATGAAAATCATGATAAATATGTCTGTGAATCCAAAACTTCTGAAAATAAATTTCCGAAGTAGAATAAAAAAGCTCATAGAAATGTAAGGTAGAACAATAAGAGCACATGGAAAAATAAGAGTTCAAGTATGAAAAATATAGAAATACACATAAATATTTTGAAAATGAAAACTCCAAAGAGAGGAGTAAAAAAGATAAGAAAGTTTTTACAGGGAACGTGAATATATACTGCAGTTATTTAAAATTTACATCTATTCTATATAGTCCTTTGTACGTACATTGTTAATTTTAAAATGAATTATTTAAACTATTAAAAATCATTTAAAATTATTTAAATCAATAACTTTCTTACACAGAAGCAATCAACACATTAAAAATACACTAGAATAACAGTTCCCATTTACAGTAGATAAAAAATAAAGAAGAAAGGGAATAAGGAAGAAATGGGGAGTAAAAAAGTAGGAAAAGGAAGGATGGAGGGAAGAGCCTCAGAAGGGAGAGAAAAAAGGTAGAAACCAAGGAAGGAAGGCAGGAAGAACTCCTGAAAAAGACAGAAGAACGCGAATGAGAAAGACATGGCAAGAGGAAATAAAAGAGAAAAGGAAGGACAACAGGGGAGATACAAAATAGACCTTGAAATGTTTATCAGCGAAGAAAACACGCAAACATTTACTGAAGAGCACAAGGCGGAGACACACAAAACGCACAAACTTTGTTTTCTTTTCTCATAAAAAATCAAAACATTTCACAAATCACTTTGTAGTTATCCATTGACACACATACATTGCGATGAATCATCGAGATAACTTTAGGCATGAAAAGATGGCTCAAGGATAATCTAGAGCTACCTTTGCTTTAAAGAAAGCACAGCAGGTACGCAACACCGCATACCACGTTTTTACCTATTTTGAGATAACTTTCATTTTACTTCATACATAGGATACTTGGCAAAATTGGGTGAATATTTCCTACTCAAAGATGAAATGGCAGTCATGTTTGAAGGTGAGTGTGAAGGTAATCAGGGACTCTTTATACATAGGTTGAAATAGATTAGTGATTTGTGCCTTTAGTCACATATGAGACCCGTATAAGGATGCAGGACGGAACGAGGGTGGTAATGGGGGTGGCTGGTTGGGGGGAGGATTGGTTAAGGAACATCTTTTTCTTATTGTTCCACTCTGCTTCTCTTAGTCCATTAATCCCTGTGATTGTCTGAGACCTTGCATCCCACAGCCCTTGGGATCTGCAGAGAGTCCCCATCAGCACATCCTTTACTAGCCTCTCCTGTATGACAGCACCATTCTCACGGCTGGGGCTACAGCATCAAAGAGGCCAAAAACCTCTTTTCCTGGAGAATTCCCACTGCAGCGGATAGTAACCTATCTATCTTGTGGATAGTAACCTATCTTGCGGATAGTAACCTAGCTTGTGGATAGTAACCTAGCTTGCGGATAGTAACCTAGCTTGTGGATAGTAACCTAGCTTGTGGATAGTAACCTAGCTTGTGGATAGTAACCTATCTTGCCTGTGTGTCACAGACATCTCCCCATGCCAAAGGCTACGTGCCTACTTCAGTATATTAAAGTATGTGTGTGAGGTCATTGTATGATCAGCATAACTTTTAAGAGGTAAGATAAACATTTAGATCTCTTCCAACTTTTTCTTTATTGACTAATGTGATATATATTGTGTGCTATATAATGTGTATATATTTATGAGCCTTTCTGTGAATAAATACACGTTTTTGCTGTTGAGCAGAATGCTCAGAACATAACAGGTGCAGCAGGCATTTAGTGAGTCCTCCCAGGTTTCCTTGAATGGGTTGCTAATAGTCCGAGAAGAGTGGGCAACAGGAGGAGGCAGGCTCACCCTGCCAGGTGGCAGTGGGGCTCGGGGCTGGAGCTGCTTCGGTTCGAGGGGTGGCTCGAACCCAGGACCCCTCTCCTTGTTACAGTGATCGACAAACTGCGCTGGGATGAAGACCCCATTACTCGGGACCTGGCAGAAATGACCCACCACATTCTAACAGAAATCGCCTACAAAATGACCTCCTCCACTATCAAGAAAAACTTCCGGAGAATTTTTAGGTTTATCTACACCAAAAGATTGAAGCCCCTTTATAACTGGAACATGGACCTAACAGATAGTGACAGTGACACTAAAGAGACGAAGAGTGACAAAGAAGGCTTTGCAGAAGATAATGATGATGACATCGCTATCTAGAGAATGAGAGCTTCTCCTGCGCAACTAGAGGTTCGGCTAGAGCGGTCACACACTAGAGCAGACCACAGAAGAGGAAGGAATCCCCCCCTTGATAACCTGAGTTCATTTGTCGATGTTTTTCTGAAGAATGCTAGAACATTTAACTATCCTTTCTTAATTCTCTATTAAAACATATACATCTGAAAAGTCTGCAGCCTCTGTATCACAAGCCCATCAAGTCGATTGAAGAGACATACGGTCATCCCTCAGTATGGGTGGAGAGTTGGTTCTAGTATCCCCATACATAACAAAACCTATAGGTGCTCAAGTGTGCTACATCAGGTAGAAAAGTATTTGTATAAGATATAGATAGATGATAAATAGATGATAGGTAGATAGATAGATAGATAGATAGATAGATAGATAGATAGATAATGTATCTCCTCTGGAAATCTACAGATATGGAGAGTTGAGTATAGAAATGAAATGTTGCTGCTGAGAGACTTTTGGAGCTCAAGTCAATCAGGAAGTTACTGAGCTTTTTCTAAATAGCAGTAGAGCTATCTAGGTGGTATGGGCAAGGCTCTTGGTCCGAGGGGAATGTCCAGTGACACTGTGTGCTGTTCCTCTCTAACCCGCCAGAAGGCATGCTGCTAGAGACTTTGGCATAGGAGGTGATGGACTTGAGAGGGAGGGAAAGGGAGGAGCAAATGTGTTGTTGGTGGCCATATTAAGACAATAAAAGTAGAGAAGAGAACTGAGGGGTCTGTCAGTATAACTGTGTGTAGGAATGGGGGTTTGGGAAGAGCTGAGGCCTGAGGGAAGGTTAAACGCTAATGGATGTGAAATTCTGACATGGAGATTTCATGGTCAGTCGTAATGTTCCCTACTGGCATCCAGAGGCAGTCAGTTTGTTCTGGGTTATAAATTCTTCAATGATCTGAAGTTCTCTCTCACTACCGACCCATGCAATAACCTCCTTCATCATCTCCTTCTTCTCTCTCCTCTTTCTCCCATTTCCTTGTTCTGTATTTCTTTGACTTCCCCAGGACCTCTGAATTATTTTTACTTTATTTGGTACAACCCCCAACTGAGCACACTAAGCCTATTCACCCTCAAACAAAGCAATATGAAGTGATAAAAACCTGAGCATCGTCGGACTGGTTCTTCTCCACAATCTTAGTTGTAGGATATTAATCCTGTTCCCATTTTACAGATGAAAAGCATAAAGCTCAGCAAGACTGGCTAAACCTTTGCATACCTCGAGGACAGAAAGGTGACCTCACATTGTCCAGTTCAGAGACTCCAGAGGTAAGGTGCTTCACGAAACACTCCTGTTCATGAATATCGTTTCCCACTGAGCATCAACCCAGTTTTCATATCAAAAGCACTTGGACTGGCTTTGTGTTTCAGAGGTTTTGTTTTGGTTGGTGTGTCTTTAATCCCAATGAACAGTCTTTACTCTGGGTCATTTACATCAGGATACTCCAGAGCGAAGCCTGGAATACCTCCAGTTTGGCTCTTCCCAGAACCTGCCTAGAGTTCCTTTGGCCTCAGACAGTGTCTCTCACAAGAGTAATTTTTTTAAAGTTGAAACAATTCAGATATCTACGTTCAGATAAGTGGATGCAGACCAAATGCATGTAGTTATACAAGGGACAGCATCCCTACCCATGAACCTTGAAAATATCATCCTTGGTGGGAAGCCACAAACTGTAAGAAATGTCCTGAGCAGTTAAATCTGCAAGCATGGGGAGATTAGAGTTTGCCTGGGCACGACCGGGCAGAGCAGAGAATGGGCAGAAGGGCTTAAGAGGAGTGAGAGTTCCTTTTGAAATGATGAGAACTTTCTGGAACTAGACAAATGACATTCTAAGGGTACTACATACCACTGGATCTTACACTTTAAAATGATTGATTTTAACTGTAACCCCTCTATACACCATCTTTACAATAACAATAACAATACAGGAAAATGATTGATGTGATGTGATGCGAAATTTACTTCCATTTTAAAAAGTGACAGGCCACAGTCCCACTCTGCCTAGCATTGGGAAGACTGACCCAGCCTGGCCTCCTGCCTCAGCCCCTGGTCCTCCAAACCTGGCCTGGCAGGCGAGGGTCTACCTTCCTCTATGGAAGGTATGCCAGAGACGGCCAGGCACCGGGCAGGCGCTCCCGTGAGCTCCTGCTTGATGACCTTAGGTGCCCTTAGACTAACGAGAAAGTATCTACCCTCAGGTCCTGGCTGCTTTGGTGTTCAGAGGTGCAGGGAAGATCATCCTGTGCTCTTATTACATGTAGTAAATGGCACCAGATTAAAAGCCAGTTGGGGTATTGAAGCCCAAATCTATGGACCTACCTTCTAAAGTTGCAGATGCACTGTTGGCACACCTGTGTGCAACCAGAAGAGAGTACCTTTCTTTTTCAAAGGGAGAGAATGTGAAACTTCTAAACACAGAGTGCCGTGTAGCGAACGATATGAGGTAGGACTTACGAAACAATTTCAAGACAGAGGAAAGTGCTCCATTGTTGACTGTCCCCACAGGTCACATGACCAGAAACTTCTCCACTTGGGAGGCTAGATTTGGGTTAAAGTTCTCATTAATGGATGATAAGCAGAGGAAACATTAACAATTTTTCATGCTGCGCTTTATTGCTCCTGCTGGGTGACACTCGGATATTAAAAAGTCAGCTTTACTGTTGCAGAAAGTTGTGAACTCTTGGTGCTATGGCAGAGCTATCTCCTCTTATCATGCGCCTGGCTGGACACTTGGGTGATTTCTCAGTGTGGAGCACCCAGACACTCAGGTGAGGAGTTGGACTAGATTCTGCTCTGTTGATGCCTGCAAAGGCTCAGCTCCTCTCCCAACATACCACCTTACCAAGACATGGACACAGTCAGAGTGAGCCAGGACTCTGTATCTGGGAAGAATAATGGTTGTGGGTATATATTTTATTATTTTTGGATATTCTTAAAAATATGGTATCTGAAGCCTATAATATTAATATATGATTAGAAATATATTTGTGAGACCATTTGTGAGCTATGACACAATGTGACAGAATTTAACTCCTGATATTTTTAGGTCCTATTTCTATACAGTGTCATGTCTCCCTTTATTCTCATTTTTCCAATCACAAATACAAAATGACATTTTTCTGTAACTAAAAGCATTCTCTCTTAATAGAATTGAGAAAAATCCCAAATGGCCTTGTGTGAACTGAGAATAGCTACAATAAAGATGGCATCCTTTGCGATAAACAAACCAGGAAAGATTTCACAAGATGCTTCACAAAAAGATTTTTTTTAAGTCATAAATACACATGACCCCAAAAACATACACTGTTAATTACATAAGTCATTGCATAATGTCAAGGAATCTGGGAGTATTTCAGCTCGTTCTTTACTCAGAACACATCAATCACTTTGCAGATGCATTTGCTGAAAACATCTATAAAATAATCCTGACAGAAACCAGACACTTAAGAGAAATCAACAGGAATTTCAAATGCTGATGAGGTTTCTACTAAGCAAGAACGTATTTCTTTAAAACACTATTCTGTCAGGAAATTAATGTTGGTTTATAAAATGCTTTGAATGTTTTGTTAGGCTCTGATCATAATAAATACATCCCTAGCTCTGAAGCTCCTCTGAGTTTTCCACTCTCATCTCCAGAGTATGTTCTATGTCTAAGCTGAATACAATGGTGAACATTTGTTAAGCTCCTCCCAAGAGCGAAGAAATTTATTTCTAACAATCTACATAGAAACCTTCTGAAGGTAATTTAACTCCCTTTGAATAAATAAAGAAACCAGAGACAGACAGACAGACAGAGAGAAGAGGATGAAGAGAAAGAGGAGGAGAAAGAGGAAGAGGACCAGAATACACTGGAATAATTTTCCAAGACACATAGCTTGTCATTGGAAGTCCAGAGGTTTAAATCTATACTTTGATCAAACCTACCCAACTTTCAGTCAGCTCTGTTGTTTCCACTCTGATCTGGTTCATGATGAGGTTTTCATACTTTGTGGCTATATTACCTTACATTCATTCGTATGGAGATCCTGATTATTAAAAGCCTTTTATATTGGTTACATTCATGATCTCTTTATTTGCTGAAAAAAAATAAAAAGATCCCTAGTTAAAATGAAAAAATGTCTTCAGGTGTATTGTCATTCTTAATCAAGAACTGGTCACAGACCAATAAAATATGGTAACCCCTGGGTCATCAGAAGAGCACCCAGGTTCAATTCCATTTCCACACAGATTCCTTCCCTGAATTTCTTTCATTTGTTTTGTTTTTTTTTTGGGTCCGGTCGTGGGCCTGAACTCTGGGCCTGGGCACTGTCCCTCAGCTCTTCAGCTCAAGGCTAGCGCTCTACCACTTGAGCCACAGCGCCACTTCCGGCTTTTACTATTTGCTTATGTGGTGCTGAGGAATGGAACCCAGGGCCTTGAGCATGCAAGGCAAGCGCTCTACCACTGAGCCACCTTCCCAGCCCTCTTTCATTTGTTATTGAGTTAATATTTACCAAATATTTCCTGGCAGACATTCCCAGAAGTACAACTTCAAGTGAAATATACACAGTGCCCTTGCTCATGGCACTTACTATGTATTGCAAAAATAACATTGAATAAATAAGCACACAATGAATGTATAACTATAAATAACTACGTATGAAATGAAGGTGGGCTCAGAGATTATGCCCTAAAGGGACCTAATAGAAAACGGGGATTTTGAGGCTCCCTAAAGCAGAAATGTAGGCATATATAAGAATTTACATTGAAGAGTCGGAGTTCTGGTCTTGGACAAAAACAAAAGTGAAAGCTATTAATTAATTTCATCCGCCCTGGAAATAAAGACCGACGAACTGGAGTAATGCTTAGAAGTTCTGGACTGAGTGAAATGGGGATTGAATATTCACTCTGACCTAGGGAGAGTTCTCACCTAATTCAAGTTCAGTTACACATGTGTACACGGGGGTGGGGTGGGGGGTGATGACTAGAAGCCCTGCCTAAAAGTAAAAGCAGGATGGAATGAGGAACTATGATCACAAACATGGCAACATTCCTGGACTATAGTGAACAATAAATGTTACCTGCTGGGCTGATTTGGTCACAAG